GTCACAGCTGCCCTATGGAGCTTACAACTACATTTTGATAGAAAGGAGGGGAAGGAAACAACAATAGTGGATGCATACAGTATATGTAAATGCAGTTATATAGAGGCCTAGGTCTAAAGGAACTGCTGAGGCTATGAACTGCTATCTGGCTTCAGGCATTTCAGTCTCCACAGGCGGCAGCTTGCTTAATTTTAAGTGCATTCTATACAAAACAAACAAACAAATGAATATCTGCTCATAGAAAACCAGATGTCAAAGAGAAATCTAGCATCCTAATTTTCTACATGCAGGGATATACCCTTTGGTCTGGAGGAGCTTTTGATCAGGTAAGTCTCTTCTTGCACAGGTTTTGAAGTACTATAGCCCAGGCACAGCTTATCCAACTTATCTGTTGTATGTGAGGACTTTTGTGGGTGTTTTTTGTGGCTGTGCCATAAGCTAAAGGCATCATAGAAGAAATGTTTTGAGGAGGAATTTGAGGGAAGAGTGAGAGAGAAGTAGCATCATACTGGGGTCCTTGGAGGGAGAAATTACAGGAAGCAAAAGATACTATGGATTGCATGAGGAGGGTTGAATTTGGAGAAACAAAAGTCATTGTCAGAGATAAATCCAAAAACAAGGGCAGTAAATGGTGTGTGGCAAGTCCATGGAGAATTTTGAAGGTAAGGACACGTCTTTGTTGAATGCAGAAAGGGATGGGGATATAAGGAAGCATGGAATGCAGTCTGAATACACCAGCTGAAAGAAGCATGTTTTGAACAGAGGAAAGCTGTTGCTACGAAGGCAGCTTCCATGCTATTCATGAGAAGATGCAGCACATCTTCAGCACCATCATGTCGCCTCTGATACACCAGAGGGCCTCCTAAGCTAGCAGATAGTTCTGGCATATTTTTATGCTTTTTTCTGCCAGGAAATGCATTGAAAGGAAGGGAAAGGCAGAGAAACTAGACTCATGGAACAAGGTTGACCACTCTTCTACAAGCTATGCTTATGATGCAGCAATAGGGGATTCCATGTTATTGAAAAATACTGCTGGCATGCTAGGGTTCCTTTCTACTGTTTCAGCCGAACCAGACAAAACACTTAGAACTTCTGCTTAGCAGCACTGGATCAGTAGAAAGTGACCAAAACATTATCTTTAAAATATCTTTCTCTTGGTAAGTTTTTATAGTATTTGAATGTATTGTTTTTATGTACCTGGTGTAAGCTGCACAGATACTGTTGGCTACTGGGCAGTACAGCTCAATCTAGCATCATCTATTGTTTTGGTATGCTGTTCTCTTGGTCCAATATGGCTTTCTACAGAGTTTGCTGTCATTATAGTCTGAAAATATTTCCTTTCTAACAGCTTGTAAGACACTGCTTTGCACCGAGTAAAGTTTACCTCTCTTTCTTTTAATCTCTTAGAATAGCTGAACGTCAAAGAATAATATGGCAAAAGCTCCCATCTGCAAACCTGACTTCATGGATCTCAATATGTTGATCCCTTAAAATATGTTTAAGGGTCATGGATTTCAATAGGATTTGCACCTATTTACTCAAATTTACTCACATTCCTCAATGACATAGACATCAGTTTGACAGGAGGTACCATTTTAATGATACTGCTACGATGTGATAAATATGTCATAGAGCAATCTACTTTTAAGCATTTGCTTGAAATTCCTTCCAAAGCGAGAATAAATGGCGTGGGAAGAGAATTATCTCCAAATCTTACTAATGCCCCAATTCTATAGCTTGCTCTTCTCCATGAAGTACAACCTCCAGTAAATGAAAAGAAGCTGATGGAGCAGGTATCTGAGGCAGCCAAGAACACTGTTTAGAAATATCTTACAATGTGATCAGTTCATATTTCTTACCACACTGAAACAGCTGAAGGTAAAATGCCTAAGAAAAGTCCACTGCTGGCCATTAGCTCCATTCCCCTTCTTTGATGAATTTAAAAACAATTGGGGGGATGGTGACAACTAGGAGAAAAGCTTTCTCAGCAGTTGCAATTGGTCTCTGGAACATGTTCCCCAAGGAAGTGAACCTGGCACCAATTCTTGTTTTCTTTTTGGAACCAAGTGAAAACTTTTTTATTTGTCTGATTTTTAATAGGTAAGAACTGTTTTAATCCTGTTTGCATTATATTTTCTGCTATGCCATGTATTGACTTCTATTTTAATTGCTGTAAAGTTGTTTGAATGTTGGTTTTATTTTTGTTTATTTAAATATTATTATTGTACTGTTGCTATGTGTGTTTAAAATTGTAAACTGCCCAGAGGGCCCAACGGGCCATGGAGTGATATATAAATGTAATAAATACATACATACGTCAAAAGGACTGCCTCCCAGGCTATCCCTGGGCTTCAGTGGGCCCTTGGCATAGTGCTGATGTGTTTTCACACCAGAACTGATCAGACTCGCACTGGAATCACAGGGTTCTGACTGCTGTCCTCTGACATTGCTGCTAACATCCCTGCCTACTCGTATTCGGTACCACTGTTGTCGCTACTAGGCTACAAGTGGCCTTACCAATTGGCAGCACTGTAATGGGCAGGGGGGCAAAAAGGCTGTGCATCTCAGCTCATCGTGGCACTTTTTCTGGAGGAGGCTGTCAGCTACAGCTCCAACAGATCCAGCACACACACCAGCAAGGAAGCCAAGTGGCAAAGGCAGGAAGGGGCAAAGCTAGCGGGTGCGCAGTAGTAATGGCCAAAGTATCAGCGTCTATACGGCCCCCGGGGTGCATCAGTATGTTGGGCACTGATGCCATCCCTAATGCCCTCTGGTAATATGAACCTACTTGCACTGTTAAGTCCTCAGTTCAAGCCCTCCTTGACTTTCATCACCATTGGAGGAATGCTTCATAAGGATACAGGTTAGGCCTCCTTTCCCCAACCCAGTCCAGCTTCCAGATATGCTGGACTACAGCTTCTGGCATTCCAGAATGAGGCATGCTGGAGGATACCAAGGCACCAGAAGGCTGTGTTAGGCCTTCATGGTGATGGCACTCAGATTCTGTCCCTGGAGAGGGCGGATCAACCACTATTTGCTTTCCTTCGGATGCCAGGGCAAGACACTATTTTCTAGGTTTGGCCTATATGGTAATTGGAATTACAAACACCACATATAATTTTACTGGTTATCTGATACTGCTGGCTATTTTGGTTGTTGGCCGTTACTGATTTTTGTTTTTATTTGGTTGGATGCAGGTTTAGTCATACTTCATGTAGACTCACTAAATCAATGGAATGCAAGTTAGCCATGAGTTCAGTGACTATGAATTAATCTCATCCAATCCAATATATTCACTCTTTTGGATTGTGGAATCAAAATGGTAGGTAGCAAAAATGGAAAAACCAGGATAGAATGAATTTTAAAATACAGAGCGTGGCGTCTGTGTGAGAAGTGTACAGAAAGATAGATCTTTACACATATCGAGCCATCTTAAACTGTTTTAATGTCAAGTATTCCAGGAAAATCAGGTTTGTGAACAGGCTGAAAGAAATAACAAGTATAGCAGAAGAAAGTCATGCTTATTTCGGAGCTCTACATCCTTGGCTCCAATGACTTTACATTAAAGGATTTGCATACCAATGGGCTATTCTTAACATCTGTATGATGGCAAGGTGACTAGGCTGTCAGACGGGGATGCACATTTTATTTTGAGACTGACACTGCTCTACAGTTATATTCCTTGCTACTCCAATAATGAACGAAATGAGGAAATCAAATAGGAGCCTATGTTCATATAAGAAGTTCCTACATCAACACTGCTGCTCCTATTTGGGATTGGGAGCTGGCATAGGAACTTCTCATGGGAACCTATGGGATTTCCTCAAACGTGGAAGCTGTATCCATGCCAGTTAAATAAATATAAACTGGCTCAGGAAAACAGGATTGCCAACTCTAGATTTGGAGGCAGCACCTACTACTTTAACAACTCTAGGACAGAAAAACTTTTTTTTGAAATGTGGTACTTTGGTAGTCATTCCCTCTCTCTCAGTGCCATCTATAGGAAGCAAGATTCCAGTTCCGCTTCAGAGCATGTGGAAAAAGGAGAACAGGCTGTTTAAACACTGAAATAGGAACGGTGCCTGATAAATAATGTAAAGATGACCGTGAGTTATTAAAGCATTGTTTCCAGGTCAGAATCTATCAGCCATACTAAGGAGGAATCTTAGCCCTCATGTGTTGATGACAATATCCACAATGCAGTCTAATGAATGTTTGTTTTTAATCTTTCAGCATGTCAACAAGAGCAGCAAAATGCAACCCATAACTGGAATATTTTGGGGGTTTCCTCATTTTCTTTTAAAAATACTTACTGGCATTCCTAAGATTGTTGCTATAAACCACGTTTAATGTACTTAAATATTCAGTAGATGCATTATTGATAAAGACAAATTACAGCAATAAAATTAAAAAGGCAAACAGATCAGCAAGATATTCCCAGGTCAGCACCACCAGTCACATTTTAAAGTATATGCAAACAAAATGTAGGACATTTATTTATTTACTAATTATTAATTTATTTACATGTATTTATAGACCGCCTATAATTGCCAAGGCCTTGAAGACTGTGGTTTAAATACTCTTAACATAGTACCTTGAAAGACATAATTTAATTGTGAAGATGAAATAAACTAGATTTCAGAGTGATGTGGACTGCTCAATATTCAGAGTGCTTCCAGACAAGGCTGTTACGCTACAATTGCACTGTCTCGTTCATGGAATTTTACAGAGAGTCCAGATGAAATTGTCTTCTATCTGAAACTCTTCTGTGTGTTTTCCCACTGCTTCTTCCTTTTTCTTTCCACAGAAAAGATATTTAGGAAGACAAGATGGAATAGTTCCACAATACCTTTTGTTTGATAGCACTAGAAATCCTCCATCTGGAAGCACCCTTGAATTTCTGATGTGTGTGCTAACATTTGTACATTTTGGGGTTTGCATGCAATGTTTCTATGAGTTCAGACATGAACATGAGTAAGGGATGCCTCTCCATGACAAACCTTTCTTCCATTGAAATCTCCTTTAGCTGCTGATGTGGCTTGGTACCCTCCATCTCTCGGATGCTCACTGCATAGATCTTCGTGGTGTAGTCAATAGCTTTTTCTCGTGCAACGTCACTGTCATAACCTTGAACAAATGTGGAATGGAACATGAGACTTGTTTAGATGTTTGTAATATTATAATGCAAAATTGCATGTATATGAGATCAGTGTAAAATGAAACATGCTGTTCCAAATCTTGAAAAAAAAGAGTGAAGACTAATGTTGTGGCTGCCTTAAAACTATAAAGATTAAGTTTGTGAAAGTGGGTTAAAGGGTTTTCTCCCATTAACCATGAAGCACATTTAATCATTCAGCATATTACACAAAGTTAGTAAAACTCTGGACTGTAAAACATGGCCCATACCTGTGGTGCAAGGTATGGACCATATTTTTGAATGCTAAACTATGTAGAAAAAAACTTTCTGCATGTAATCAAAGGGAAGGAAATGTGTAAGAGAAAGGTGAAACTAAGTTCTCTCCCTGCTATGCAAATTTACTATACAGAGGGAGCTTTTGACACAAACCGCATGACCCCACCTCTCTCACCTACATTATAAATTGGTACAGTTCAAATTCTTGCCACTTTGGTCTGCATGACATATTAAATGGTTCATAAGTGACTCAATAAGCTACAAATCCAGCTTCATTCATTCCTGTATAGGAAGAGTTTAATGAAATTCAAAAGCACATGAACAAAATGTATGGGCCACATAACCCTTTACCTCCATCTTCTTCTGCGTCGGTATCTGATTCCTCGCTGTCAACTAGCTTGCTTTCTTGGGTTCCCACAAATTCTCTAGTCCAGATCATGAGAGCGGTGTCAGCTCCACCCACTGTCAGCAGCACAGAGTCATTATATAACCACCGGACATTGGTAACATGAGCACTATGACCCACATACTTCTTGAACTTGGCATGCTGACCCTGCAACATGAACAATTCACATCTTCCATGATTCTTTTTTGTTATTTCTGAACTTCATGCCCCACATGCAATTATTCCATTTACCAGGACACTTTTGAAAAATATTTTTTAAAAAAGATATTTAAAGCTGAACGATATTGTACATTACCTTTACAGGATATCTGAAGAGCTTTACAAACCCAAAGTCATCCCCTGTAGCTAAAAGAGTGCTATCTTTGGTGAGTGAAGCTGCATTGATAACAGTCACATCACTGTGCATTGGCCAAATTCCTTCACAGGTAGGACCAAGAACACATGTCCAGGTGTCCCACTCAATCTTCTCAATCTGGGAAGGAAAAGCATGAAACCATACAGTGCGTGAGCAACTCAAATCTTCTAAGGAATTAATTCTCCAAACCTCTCATCGATTACAAAAATATTATCTCCCATTGACAGAAGGGCAATCCAACACAGCTCTTGGAATCCCCAGATCCAAAACTGGTTTGTTCATAAATGCCCAAATAAATCTGATTCTTCTCTTTCATCAAAGAAAATATGTACATTTTTTTTAATTTAAAGCAGAAAACTGATGTGATTAATGAAGGGAAACAAGAAGAAGGTTAACTGCCTCTGTACCAGGACCTCTGGTTATTACTTCAATTTGTTAAGTCATTGACCATTGCATGTTCGTATGAGATATATTGCATCTGCTGTACTGGCCTGATTATGCCCAAATTCTCCTCTTCTCATAATTGCCTTAGACAGTAACCATTATACTTGACTGGTCTGTAATTGCATGAAGGCATTGGTATCTACATTTGCTATCTCACCTTGCCCCCAGCCATACACACATTTGCTTTTCCTTTTGTATCACAGATCATAGTCTGTAAGCTATTAAAGTGTAATACTTAAACTAGAAAATGCCTTGCATGCTTTGCGAAAAAGGTGATACATAAATTATGTACGTGGGACTAGGGAGCAAAAATTACTATACTGTAATCTTACAATAAAAATTACTATACAGTAGTTTTATATGCAGCAGTAAGTTGCACTCAGCCATCTCTCCTACCTTGGCATTTATCCAGTTGTAGAATGCATGCTGACTCTTCATCTTTCATGCAACTGTGCATGAAGTCACTTTTAAAAGCCTTTTAAAATGCCTGCTTATTATAAGTGAGCACCTCTGTACAGAACTACCCTTGCAAACACATATGTCTCAGGTTGTAATCTCATGCATTCTTTGCAGGGAGTAAGTCCCACTGAATATAATGAGACTTATATTAATGAGTAAATATGCATAGGTTTGCACTGTTATACCACAAATTCCCCTTGCAATGTATTGAAATGTTCTGCAATAAAAGGAAAGTCTTTTAATAACACACAGTCTTGCATTGAAAATTAGTAACAAGAATTTTTTAATACCTTTCAAACACTATGACACAGGGAAAGCAGAAAAGAGAAGCAAAGTAGAACAATGAAGTGCAGCTGATTGTAATTATGTGCATTCAAAAGAGAATCCCATTGATACCATGTACTAAATTCACTTTCAGTACATGTGCATTCAAATGGTACTCTAAGGCAAATGGGAAATAATGTGGAAAAGGGAGAATTTAGAGAAAACATGGAATGTACAAGGAAGTGTGACAACAGGCCTTCTTTCCCTTGTTGCACATGGTCTTAAACCTGCAACCTCCTTTACCCAACACAAATGCATGACAGAGTCCTTCCCCACTGTCATAAAATTTTCTTGTACCACCCTTACAAACACCCTTATTAATGTAAAAATATCTGACTTGTGGGTGGGCACAACATGTGGCCTGTTGGAATACATACCTGCATCAGGGATGCTGAACCTCTTTCAGCTTGAGGACAAACTTCTATTCTGCACAAGCTTTTGGGGATCTGCATTCCGCTGGTGGGTTGGGCCAAAGCAAAGCAAAATGCAGCCCCCAACCTGCCCTTCAGCATATTGCAGCTTGAAGCTGTTACTACTAGCAACTAAGCCTTGGGTGAGGTATTTCAACTTTATGAATGGCTGGGGAAATGCGCAAAAGCCAGGCAACCACAACTGGTGCACACCTGGGGGAAAGAAGGCAGGGCTAGGGAGATGGGATGAGGCCTTTCGGGGGACCTTGGAGGGCTGGACTGGGGTTCCACATAGGCTGGCTTTGCCCTTTGCGTTGAGGTTCGGCACCCCCATGGAAAGCAGCAATTTGCTCCCCTTGTCTCCAGTCAAAGTTGGCACCAAAGATATTTTATTTTAAGAATCTGGGGATGAGGCTGAAACTTTGGCAAAGTGAGACAGAAAACTACATATTCCAACCTATATGTTATACAACTCTCCCTCTAACCAGAGAGCAAGGGAATAATGATACATAAAATTTTAAAGTTCAGTTCGTTTCCTTCCTACCTCAGTGGGTCTTATTATATGCCTCTTTCCTCTTGGCGCTTCAAAAAAGAATTGTTCTTTGGCACCAGAATTGACTTGCAATAGCTTCCCTTGATCATAAAGAAAAAGCGTGTTATGATGAGGCTCAACAGTTTCTCTTACTCTTAAATCAAGAGATGTTATTAAAAAAGGGCAAACTTCTTTTACAGTTAGTTATAATGAAATGCAAAAAAAGCTAAAAGATAGCTCTCAAACACTTATGAAGATAAATACAGTCTTCCCCAAGGGGAAAATATCTGAAGTCTGAATTCCACTAAGGGTAGGGGTGGAAGTAATATTTTAGAGCTGTGGACCATGCTGGAAGTACATCGCCCCCCTTTCCATCCAAGCATATATTCTGCTTTAGAGTGAAGCCTGGGGGGAAAAGAAAATGAATGGATTAAATGCATGATAGTCCATGCTCCACTTTTAAGAATAACATTTTTTCTGTAACAAGGGTGAAAAGCAGGCCTGGAGAAAGGATTGATGTCTGAGCTAGCATTTTATTTATTGATATGAAAATCTGCCATTTCATTTGTAATGTCAGGCTCACCCTATTGCTATGGGAAGTTGTGAGCCCTTTTTCATGTCATGACATAATCTCAATCTTTGCTGTTTTGTGCTTAACTGTCTATAGCCCCATATTTATTGTAAGCAACATTATAATGGGCATGATAGTGGATTTCCCAGCCTTTTCAGTGAGATAGTGCCACAACGTTTAACTCGTTCATTAACATTATTGGCTGAAGTGTGCACAGTCTTTCTTATTTACACTAGACAGTAACTATGCAAAGCAATCTTGTTAGTCCTATGCATCATGAAAAATGCTTTTATTAGCTACAATCATAATCAGATATTCACTAAAAATAAATCATGGGAATGTAAAAAGTCAGTTGAACAATGTTTTTATAAAGTTATCTGTTCCCAGATATTCAGAGTTGTGCAGTGCTGCAGTGGAGTTAACTGTACAATCCTGCACATGCCTCTTCAAAAGAAAGCCCCACTGATTTTAGTAGGTCTTACTGCCAGGTAAATGGGTACAGAATTGTAGCCAAAGAGTATTATGAAGGCAAACAGTAGAAGGTGCTTAGACACAACTCTGTTATCAACATGTGAAATTCAAGAACCATAGCTATAATCCTAGAAGGGATCCTGGTGTAGCCTGTTGAACACGATGTAAATAGATGGACTTTTTTCTAGCCTTATTCTCCATGATTTTGTCTAATCTGCTTTTTAAACCATCCATATTGGTGGCCATCATTAGCACACCTCGTGGTAGCAAATTCCACAGTTTAACTATACACCATGCAAAGGACTGCTTCCTTTGTTCTGAAAGCAGCGGATTCATCTAAACATTGTCTAATACCTCTGTTTATTTGTGCTGCAATTTGCTTAACAAACTTCAATGGATAAATCATATGGAATTTAGTCAATTCAACTACTGATTAAATTTGCACATAATTGTAAATGGGAATATTGTATTTTTTAAATAAAAAATTGTATATATTTTAGTTTTGATGCCTAGGCTGGGCAAGAGCTTCTTTTGAGAGTAATGTGAAAGCTTGCTTCAAATGTAATAATAAAAAATGACTGATTCACTTGTTCTATACTTTATTGTTCAGGGGTATGCTGTTTTCAGAGTTTTGAATTAGGTATTACCGTATTTTTTGCTCTATAAGACGCACTTTTTCTCCCCTCAAATGGGGAAATGTCTGTGCGTCTTATAGAGCGAATATGTGTGTGCAGTAAGTCTGTCACATGTGCAGCCCATGGGGAAGTGATGGGGAATGTGCCTGTGATTATGTGCCCATTTGATTCAGAATATTTTTTTTTTCTTGTTTTCCTCCTCTAAAAACTAGGTGTGTCTTATGGTCAGGCGCGTCTTATAGAGCAAAAAATACGGTAGATCTTCTACATCTCATTACTAGTCAAACAGTATTTGTGATTTTTGTAGTGCTTAAAAAACCTTTAAAACCCATTTGATCACAGAGTGACCACTGTTGGTTAGGTATGCAAGGCTTTTTACCTCTTGAGTCCCAGTCAATGTGTGTGATATAGCTGGATGCCCCTTTGCAGATGCCAACTCTTTTGCTGGTAAGCATGTTGTAGATATCTACAAAATTATCATGGGAAGCCACTCCCAGATATTTGCCTGAATCTATAAAAAAAGTAAATACAGGTAAACATGACATGTCACCTGCTATGGTGTTCTTTTTTCTTTTTGTCACAAATGCATGGAAAGACATCTATTGTGTTACTGGATTATGAAATTATGTTAAAACAGCAAGCAAAACGAAAGAACGTGACAGAGTGGAGCAGCATTATTCAAGCAGTGGACCGGGCCAACTCAACTATTCCCTTGAAAGCTGTAAGAGTTGCCTGTTGCTGAGAGCAGTTATCATATTTCCTTGTAGTGTCATGAATGTGCTGTGTGCACATATTACAAGGAAACATGACAGCTGGGAGAAAATGGAATCCCACCGGCCACTGTACACAAGAGAAAAATATGTGGAGGCAATGGAGATGGGAAGAGTTAACTGTTGAAGAGAACTGAGAAATGACTTGTGGACCCCCTGCTGAAGAAACAAGAGGGATCTGCAAGAACTGATTTTTTCTTGTACTTCTGTGATCCTTAGTGTTCCTTTAAGCCTGCTGATACCTTTTCTCTTGTACATGGATGATGTTATGTTTGCTATATATATAAGGATTCACAAGAATCTATTTACCAAATCACTGCCAGTATAGGTGATGATGGGGTGCATGCTTAAGCTTGCTCAGCTTTTATGAGAGATGCAGATATGGTATGATACAGCTTCTGAGATCTTTTAAAGAACTGAGAAACACATTGCAATAACAACCAACAACAGTTTTTCTAAATGTCCTAGAGAATGATGGCCTAAGATTAGTCTACTCCATAATGTTCCATTTTAATTTGAAGAGGCTATTTGTTCTGCACCTCGAGAAAATTTGATGTCAGAGATCGTTTCCTTTCTGTGGTGGAAGGAAAGCATATCTTCCACAGTATCAGCATTCACTACCAAGAAACTCCCATCATTCAATCCTACAGCCAAGGCTTTCCCATCAGGGGAGAAGGCACAGCATCGTCCACCTAGAAAGATATGCATAGAGTTTCTGTTTAATGTTTGGATGCCGAGGAAAACAGCAGTCAGAGGAGAGTAAATAAACCCATTCAAATTATTTATTATTATTACCACTTTGTCTGATAGCTGTAAAGTAGAGTCTTACTTAGTACAAATATTAACAGGACTGGCTCCCAGTTCTACAGGTCAAAAGATGCTGTACAGTCATTCCCATTTTCCCTCCTTAAAGGATATTTTGCAGGAAGACAGACAGAAGAGGTGGAACATGGGAGAGTTACAAGCAGAAGATACAATCTGGACCACTGTAATGTTCTGTGAATGAAACAGGGCCAAAGCCTCATCTGGAAGCAACAAAGGTTTCAGTGGTCCCTGGACAAAATTAAGTACCCTCTGGTGGAACCCTTCATATACTGCAGGGTTCCTTTGGGCTACCTTGCACAAACACTCCAGAAAGCCAACACTGTGCTTCCCCCTGCAATGTCACAAGGTGCCTGACGAAGGATGACCCACAATGGCAAACTAATAGGGTTGTTTTAGTAGTTGGTCTGGACTGGAGAAGGCCCAGGGATGGGATGTGAGGTACTGATGCCAGGACTGAGTATTAACTACATCTTAAAACAAAGGCAAGACACTTCTGGGTATTTCACTGATCTCATTCTGTTTATTTTTAATTTCAGGCTAGTGATATTTCATTCTGCAAGTACTCCTCTTTATTTATAAAATGAATAAAATATCAGAAGGAACTTAGAGAATAATCTTAAGCATGTTTAACCATGTTTAGACAGGTATCCTACAATTGGGGTATGTTGGTTGTTGCAGGACTTTGAAGTTGTTGTTCTTACATTGCATTTATATCTCACCTTTTCAATTATTGTGATTTTGGGCCAAGGTGACTTACATAGGTCCACTTTATCCTCACAACAACAATCCTGTGAGGTAGGTTGGGCTAAGAATCTATGACTGGTCCAATATAGAATAGTTAATTTATTTTATTCTGAGTAATGTAAGCCGTCCAGAGACAGAAGTAATGGACGGCATACAAATTTTATAAATAAATAAAAATTATCACTCAGTGGCTGAGTTGCAACTGGAACCTGGATCTCCCAGGTACCCAGTCCAGCATTCTAACTACCACACCACTCTTGTTCTGTGCGAACATGCACAGAATTGCACCTTTAATTACCACTGGCAAGTCACAGCCCTTTAAATCTCACAAATATGACACAGTGCTTAGAGAGCTGGACAGGAAAACTTGTACAGGAGAAAATGAAGCTTACCTTTCTTAAGTTTTCTTACAGCCAACATGCGGTGCTGAGAGGACAGTTCCCAGATCCTCAGAGTTTTATCATCACTTACTGTTGCACAGATGGGCAACAGAGGGTGAGCTGCTAGACCCCAAACTTCACCTTCCATGTGTCCCTGTTTATACAGGAAAAGAAAGGTTTACAAAAGAAAAGAGTTTGTACAATTGTGTATTTATCCCAAGCTAAGATTAATTTCCAATTAGTTTAGAAGTTAAAAAAGTAAAGAAACCAGAAGAAAATTAAGTAATGGTATTTCCATGGTTTCTTTTTATTCTCCCCATTTCCCACATGTATACTAAAGCAAATCATCTCTATTAAGCAGTTTCATAAACATTAGCACATTATGGCCAGAGTCCTGACTTACAACTAGTAGCCATAATAGATAGCATCTTTGGGAATAGTTTTCTACCACCCCAGTTGCATTTTGGGGTGATCCCTGTACTTGAAAAGCACAGAAACAACTGCCTCTCCTGGTGGGACTTTTTTAGTTTACAAACTACAGGCTTTGGAAATGAAGCACTCCCTCTGCTAAAGGAATTTGATGAGCGGGACAGAAGAAAATTAATTAGCAAACCACATTAAAGGCACCATAAAAATGAACATGTGCAGACATGCTGAGTGCCATTTCATGTTTCTGGGTGTCACGGTACCTGCACAAGTAGTGTCATGGGTCCACTTTTATCAATTTCAAGAATCTCTCCATTTTTTGTTCCCACTAGTATATGTCCATGTCCTAACGTGATGGCACGGATGGATGGATTGTCTTCCAACAGCAACCCTGGAAGGTTACAGGGAGGGGAAAACACCTTAATTTAAATTTCTTTCCCAAAGCTAGGTCTCTCCATGTGGTACCACCCCCTGAACAAGCTTTTAGAAAGAACTCAAAAGTAAATGTGACTTCTGGGACAGGGAGTATCATTAATGATGAACAAGACACTGAGAGTGGTTTTAGTTATGTAGCTAACAGGCACTCTTTCCCCTTTCTGCAGGGCACCTACTATCCCAGAGGAAAAAAAGGCAAGAAAAATACTCTGTTTCTAGCTTTTCCTTCCTCCAAAGGTCTCAGAGTGGCACTTGTAGAAATAATTCAGAATGAGTAAAAGTATTGGGCTCCAGACCACTGAGCAGTGGTTTGAATCGGAGTGTCCCCAAGACTCTAGTCCAGCCTTTCCCACCTTTGGTGTAGTTGCTGGATGATACTTCCTAAAACCCCTGACCAGTGCACATAATTGTAGAGGCTGATGGGAACTGTGGTGCTCCCACTCACTTGATTTATCCTCCCTAGAATTAGTTGTTTTCATTGCAACATGGTGCCTAAATCTGTTGTGTGTACGTCATATCTCTGACAAAGGTTCCTTTTGTCCCATGTTTGTCATCACATATATTTACATGCCTGTTCACGTGAATGTGTGAATAAGGATGTGTGGCAACAATACTTTCTTGCAGCTCACAGATAAATTGTACCTTTAGAGCCAGGTGATAATGCTGCTCTTTTAATGGCATACGTCTTCAAGCACCTCTCAAAAGTATCATCCCAAAGTGCCACTATACCATCTTTCCCACCAGTCACAAAGCCCTAAAAAGAAATCAAATTTATAAATTACTGAATGCATTAACATCAAAGAGCTGGGTGATAAAAAAAAAGGTGTGCCCACATGACAATGAGTTACAGAATAAAGTATGGTTCACATGCTGGGTATGTTATCATAACTATTTCCACATGTGCGCATTTCCCCCTCTGATGAATACTGACCACTGTGGGAACAATTGATACTGAAAGAAGATGTATTGACATCAATAACATTCATTATTTTAAATAAATTATTAATAAATGTTAAGTCAAACCTTCTGTGCTGGTCCAGGACCTAAAAGGGTATGTTTAGGAAATGGTAAGAATTTACTAACAAAACAAAACAATTTCATGCTGTGTTTTACTGCACTTTTGCATTGTGAACCATCCAGAGAGCTTCGGCTATTGGGCAATACAGAAATAAAATAAAATAAAATAAATAATAAACTGTCACGAGTGGGAAGGCAGCTTGGCTATACTTGCTTTGAAGTACCTTAATAGAATGGCCAAAAATAAAAGTGAGTTCTGTTCTGGTATCTTTAATAGGTGCCAAAAAGGGAGAATTTGGTGAGGCAGAGCTTCTTCTGCCACAGTGCTACTACAAAGGTAGAAGGAGCTGCACCAGCTGAAACTCTTTCACACAACCTATGTTTTTTCTTAAGATCATTACTTTAAAAAAGGGGTAGAAAACCTTTCTAAGCCTGTGGGTACATTTGACCATTTTTATCATATATTATTGATTTATTATGTATTACACAAATTTATATACCGCTTTCCATAGAAGTACCAAAGCAGTGAATATAAAATGGTATCAAAACACCAATAACCAATGACAGTAAAACAACTCAATACAAAACTGACTAGCAGGAAAATAATACACTCTACCCTGTGCTTGGCTTGCAAGGTCACACTTCAAGAAGAGAAAATCAGGAAATCAGTTTTAAGAAGTCATCTGAATGCCAGAGGTGTGGAGGCCTGCAAAATGTCAACTGAAGTGCTCCAGGGGTAGGTGCTGTAATGCTGAGTGCTCTATGGGCCCACGTGGCACCCTTAGGAATGGTCCTAAGGAAGACGGCAGAGGCTGGACCTCCAGGGTGAGGCACTCTCCTAAGGCACCCTCATTCCAAATTGTTCAGCACTTTATATTGTTAACAGCAACACCTTATACTTGGCCCAGTACAGTTCTTTCAGCAGTGTGCTGTTGGGGAGAGGCCTCAGTGAATAGCTTCTCCTCTGCAGTCTGCCTCAGCTACAACTCCTGGACCAAGTCCAAGGTTAGCCCCTTCATAGAGGACATTACAACAATCCAGTCTGGAGGAAACCGATCCCTAAGCTAAACTGCCATGTGTGCAAACACCACAAAATGACTGCACTCAAGGCAGAGGTGCGGTCTGAACCACAACACACTAATAGACACCAATGAACTCACAGGTGACACTGACTTTTTCTTTTGTCCTTATTTTTCTTGATTACTAGGTATGCTCCAGAGAAAGCCTCTGTCTTTCATCGGCTACTGTCTTCATTAATGTAGAATGTCTCTGAGCCCCATCATGTAGCTTGGAGGCATTCATAGGAAATGAAGATGGACAAAGAGACCATCTCCATGCGAGCAAGCCCCCGCGTGAACATGCACCCGCCCCCCCCCACCAGCCTGCGCCCCCTGCCAGCACAGTGTTGGTGGCCCGCTCCCACTGCCGGCACCTTTCAACTGGACCCCTGTTGAAAAAGTTTGAGGACCCCTGGCATAAGACTTAAATACCTTATCTAAGGCATGCATAGCAAATACAGGTCCATCATGAGCTTTTACTGTCTTGAGCAGCAATATATCTTTCCATATATAAATATCTCCTGTTGCAGATCCAGAGAAAACCAGGTCTTCTATTCGTCCATAGGAAACACTCATCATGGTCTCCTGTTTCCCAATATTTCCATAGATGCCACGTTTGGAAGTAAAGCCACCACCTAAATTGTGAAGACAGAACAACAATCATGCTTATAGGCTGCTGTGATATTTCTGTTTCTATTATTGGAGATGGTTCCTAACTTCATTATAACTTGTGAATATTTTCTGTGGATATATAACAGAATCATGTACAGATACTTAAAATAAGAGCTGGGGATGCAAACATACCAATAGTCATCTGCTACATTCATGCAGGAGTCAAGTTCCATGTTTCTCATGAAGAATGCATCAGGACTTTACAACAAAAAAGTCGTAATTGTTAGACTTTGGGCACAATCTAGCTAGAGAGAAACACTTCCAAGTCCCCAATAATTTCAAATCTATTACTGAAAATTGTTGGATGTACAACCTATTCCTAGGCTCATTTACTTGGACACCCTGTGTATTTCAACAAGGACTTTCCACATTTCAATTTACATTTTTGGATAAATGTTCATGTGTGAATAACTTTTTGTCTTGTTTGGCCCAAAGTGCAGGGATGGGCAACTGCTGATACTCCAGCTGTTTTGTCTACAACTCTCATCAGTTTTTTTACCATCAACTGTTCTGGCTAGAGTTGAAGGATTTGTAGCAAAACACCTAGAGAGTCACAAGGTACCTGACCCTGCCTTACTGCATAGGTGTTATATTCTTCAGAAAGGCCCAACTCCTGGATGTCAGTAAGAGTCTGTGTTTTGAGCATGTCACCCATCCTTGGCTCTGGCTCTTCGCCTTCCAAACACTTCTTTCTCCATCTAAGAATAACTGGGCGGTCATCCTTGCCTCACTTCTGCTCAGGATGTTTTCTCTTTCCATTCTACAATCATCGTCTGTCTGTCTGTCTATAGCTTTTATAGACTATCCCATTACTAGCATCTCAGGATGGTTTACAACAAGCACAGATAAAAATGGCACAGCTTGCACTTCATCATTAGAAACATAGAAACAGAGCTAGTCAGAAGGGGTCTCCTGGGCCATCTAGTCTGACCCCCGGCTCCAGCCAGCTCCACTCATGACATGCCCACCATGTGCATGGCTAGTCTGACTTGAACATCCACACTGATGGGGCCTCAACCACCTCCCGTGGGAGCCAATAAAATTCCTTTGTAGGTTATGTCTTGAGTTCCCTTCCTCAAGATTCTCCTTACAGTAACACTCCATTATCCAGACTGGACTTCCTGACATTATGCAGGATATGCTCCTGTTAATTTGGTAAAGTCTGGGCCAGCCCTACTGGATTGGCACAGCAGCCTGTACTCTAGCAGGCACATAGTTTGGGGTTAAAGAGGAAGCAGTTTCCCACCTTGCACTGCTTTTCCTAGGGGTGTCAGTCTCCAAACACAGGAAATAGGCTTGGTCATGTCTAAGAACACATGAGCAAGCATAGTAACAAGGCAGCCTTCTCACTGGATAGGAAATTGTGTGGTGCCTCTGCACTGGGAGTGACTGAATGGCCCAACTGTACTTTGGGCACAGAAACAGCTGCTCCCTTGATGGGAAGGAAGCTAACTGCTCGGAGCCACGAATCCTGCCAAGGTGTACCAGGCAGCCCCCTCCAAAGCTTTATGTGTATTCTGCTTCTTGAAGCTTCTTGTATTTTTCTGCCACACTACTTTTTTTGAGTTGTTGGGATGAAATAAAGTTGGCTTAAAAAACCTCTGTAGAAGCAGCTCAGTCATCATGTGATGAGTGTGCACCTATCACATGGTTGCATTGCCTTTTAAAACTATTTTTAGTCTAATTGGGCAAGGTCAATAAACTATCTGAATTATAACTGTATCTGTTTAAGCACTTATTTGTTATTTCTATTTTCTGCTGCTAAAATAGCCCATATCCAGGCGGCTCACAATATATAAAACCACACAACATTCTAAAATCAGTGACATTAACTCAACATATTAAAACATATTAACAACATTATACAAATATAAAACATAATATATCAAAATTAAAATATTATATAGATCATTAGAATAAGACAATGTAAACTAAAATCAACTAAACTAAATTTAGTTTTAAATCAATTTAAACCAAAATTCTTCCGGTTTGGAGTCTTAGAGCTGTATCATATTGATGTCTCACACCTAAGCATACTTATTTGGACTTATGTTCCCCCAAACGCGTATTTCCAAAAGAAGACATGCACAGGTTTCAGTTATTAGACTGTTTATGGAAGAACTTCTAAGTCTAAGCAATGCTAATGTTAACAAACATTTGTTGCAGGAAGAAGTAAAACACATCTCTTTGGCTCATTTTTAAATCTCATTCACTGCAGTGCTAGGCAAGAACTTGCAAAGAGGTCTTATTGAATATGAATGTGTTCTGCTCAGCTACATAAAAATGACAAGAATGTTCAGCGGCCTGCAGACTATGGGATAATTCACAGATTTCACAATGCCTTCTTACTAGATGCTCCTGGAGATGGAATTGTTTGGAGGTCCTACCATGAGGTCCAAAGCTTCTTGAGCAATGCCAGAAGCTTCCCACGCATGTGATGGCTTGAGGATCCATCATGGCTTTCAGAGAAACCTCACTGAGTACTTGTCTTCTAGGGACACCCTAGTTCACACTTCATATCCTTGACACATTCATCACTGTAGACATAACTGCAGGCAGAGCACAGTCCAAATCAATGGACTTGTGAACAGCGCGAAATGGCCATTGATTAAAATTAAAATAATTTAAAAAAAGTATTACCTGCTTGCTGCCAAAACTTGAGGTGCTTCAATCCAACAGTCACCAGTTTATCAGGATGATGAGGATTGCATTTCACTACAAATATCTTGTCTTTGTGACCCCTGCCATACATTAAAAAGGATAAATGAATTGTTTATGCTTTCACTATTGCAGCATTGTAAGGTAGGTGCGTGTTTTGGGGGGTTAAAGGCAAAGAAAACACAATTTGAGATTAATTGTAATGACTAGAAATGAAAAATTCATTAAAACAAGAGGGACTAGAATTTCTTGATGGACAAGCAAATCTTTTAAAGTGATAGAGGCAGTCTTATATTTTAGATCTGTCCCATTTGTTAAAATTGCAGGACAAAATATGGAAGATAACTTTAGTGCATATCCTGATTAGCGTAGGCTGAGATCCACATTATTGTGATTTAAACACAAAAGTGTTTAAAAAACATATATTGAAACGTTCCTTTAATTCCAGTCTCTGAAGAACTCTGTATTGGATAGCCTCTACCAGAGAATGGTGAGGAGATTGCTATGATTCAACGGGATAAGTACCTTCAAGTACTTACTATATGAAATGGATTCAGCAGGATGTTTTTTTAAAAAATAACAAAACCAGGTCCTTTTGAGATGGAATCATTGTGACATAGATGACTTGGTTGGATTTTATATCTTTATGATTTACAGACATGTTTTAATCGGTATAGTTATTACAATGGCCTTACTATTTGATTTCTGTGTTTTTCTGGCATTTTTATGCTGCTTGGACACACCTGTTACTCACCTTTTTTGTTTTGGGCTATCACATTCCTGGACTTGGCATAAAAATATTAGAAAATACAACCTTCATATAGCATATGGAACATAAGTGGTAGAGAAAAATGCAGCTACATTTCAGTAAACCGAAGACAACTTGAGAGAGGACAACACTGATTAAATTAATTAAGACAGCTATAAAGTGTCGCTATAAAGTGTCACGTTTAAACCACTAGGTGATAAGCAAGCAGCTTTAAATATTTAAGTAATCTCAGAAGGAAGACTGGACGGTCTGTGATAATTAATTGAAGCACATTAGACTGACAATTAGAAGGGCGAAAATTAAAACAATATTTCAAAGAACAGATAAGCCAAAAGAAATAAGGCCTCAAAGATAGTTCTGGATTAATTCACAATACACTTGTTCTGTGGGTTCTGTGATTTGCCATACTTAGTTTAAATCCATCACAATATGAGCCATTAGAGGATTTGTGATAAGTTATCAAACTCATAAAGAGATAGGGTTGCAGAGCAGTTCTAGGCCACTTCACTAAAAATACTGCTTTCACTTCAAGAGGAGCATTATCCTGCTCCAATTGAGGGGACCACAAAAGTGTTCTTAAGAAGGAATGGAGGCTCAAGGTAAGTACAATATGCAATATAAATACGCATGGGTGCAGAAGCAGAACTACACAGGGTTCAACACCCTTCCTTCGCATGTTACTTATTCACTGAAGCTCCTAGGCTATTATCAGCAGTGGGAGGACTGTGAGCACCTTTCAAAATCCAACCTCTTGGTGCAAAATACACAAGCTCAGAGCTCAAGATACTTACTTTCGGTAAGAGGGATGGGGGGATGCAGATAGTGAGGCATGCATGAACCTTCCACTGCTAGTGCTGGCAAAGCATGTTAAGGTTTGCACACCATCTGAGGAAGATGGGAAACAGTTTGGGGCAACCTCTCCACATGTAGGAAGCTGGGATTGTAAGAATGTGAATCATGCCCAAGTGTCCAAATCTTTTTTCTCTTGGTGGGGGCTACTTCTTGTCATGGAGCCTTAGCTTAGAATGGAGAGGGCAAAAGGGGTTTCTGCAGGAAAGAAGGAGTGAAGGAAGGCTTCTGCTCTTCCTGCCTAGCAACACATGCTTTGCTTTAAAGCTCCCCTTCCTTTTGCTTTGTAGGGATTTCACAGATCTAATCCTGACTAGCATTAAGCCTTCAATCTGCCTGAGACACTGGAACGCCCAATCTAGTTGTTCTGAAACAACACAGAACAGAGTTCAACTGCATACAAAGTTTTAGATAAAAATGTTACACTAACATATAAAGTCCATTACACTTCAGTAAAATGTATCCCACCTGTATTATGACCACCCATAATTTGTCTAAAAATGGTCACATATTATTTTATTTCATGAAAAGGAAAATACTATTTAATAACTGAAATGACAGCATTGACAAGAAAACCCATCTGATATGGAACCAAGCCCTTTGCTGATAGTCTGCCCCTTCAAGCAATTACAGAAGCTTTCTTGGTCCTTGCTAGGTTAACAATTCCTTGACAGCAAATGAAATAAAAGAATCTTTTGAAATTGTGCATTAAAGTTCAAGATCAGGAGAATGAGTGAGGCTAGAACAGGTGGCCTGACATGAGCAGGAGAGTCTCACAAATCTGTTCATACCAAATGAAACTCCACAACTATAATTGTATATCGGATGGAGTCCAAGTGGGAAACTGTACTCCAGGCATATCACTGTACACAGCAGGAGGGGAGATACATCTCATACCTGGACAGATATAACTCACATCATTCAAGTGCTTTTGATACTACAGAACCAAGGGGCAGAAAAATACAAGGAAACAACTGTGCCTTGAGACAATGCCTTGGATCTTAAATTGCTCTTCTGCTCACATAAGCGGCGTGGAGATTTCTACCAGCAACCCACTCCATTTGCATCCCCTACACACATGCACCTTCTATATACCCAACATTAATGTACTGAGCAGAATCTCTGCACAGAGGCTTATACAGCACAGGTGGGCACCAAATAAAAGGAATCCTACTCTCACCTTAGACGTATGCAGGCAGAAGTCTCAGGCAGAGACCATGTGAATGATGCTGTCCCTGCTCCACCTATACATGCCACACATTTAGCTTGCACATGTTAAAGAGGTGAACAGAACTGTGAATGGCCTGATCACATATCCAGACTTTGTACATAGGCCACTGTGCACACAATCTGCCCCATGCATGGATGCCTGGCACACAGAGGGATATGGCCAGTGATATGTACAGGGAAGAACATCTGCACACAGAGATGTGCAAAGGTTTAAAGGCCTTTTTTGAGCTCTTGAAACAGGATCCTAAAATTCTGTCATGGCAGTATATATAAAAGTATACAACCAATATAGTGAGATATCATGTCGACTCAACAATGTTCTTACCTGGCTGCTGCCATCTTTTCTCCTTTCTTCCAATCCCAAAGTACAATGGTATGATTATCATCTAACCCAACTGATGCCAAACACTTCCCATCAGCTGTATAAAAGCAATTCACAAAATGAAAAGTGTTTAGTTCATGAAACCTTGAACTGAAATGTGATACAACATGACATTTGCTATAAATTTTAAGTCAAGTTGACGATAACAATCAAATTGAACATTTCACAGACATGTTTTCTTTTAAACACTGTGAAAGTCTGTTTCCATTGAATTCCTAATATTTTTTAGAAAGGAGATTTATCGGTTGCCTATTCTATGGAATTTACCTTGCTTTTGGCTTTTCTGTCATTCTTTTCCACAGTGTCACCAAATGGAAAATGTCAAGAGGTGAGGTACAATAAGTCAAAACCATTTTCTTCCCAAGAAGGACAAGCTACTTACTTGTAAATGTAGTTCTTCAAGTGGTCATCTGTGCATTTACACATGTGGGCACCATGCCTGTATGAAGTCCCAAGAAGGGAAACTTCTTTTGTTGAGGATTTTGGGCAGGAATTTTCCCCCACCAACACAGTGCACATGTATCTAGCAGGTTCCCAGTAGGACTAGGATGAAACTCAGTGGAATCCACCCCTCTAGCATTTGTGGACTACCTCTCATGCTTGGTTTGGTCTTGCAAAGTTGGCCAAGCTGATAGGAAGTCTATGAACACTCACAGAATGAAGGTTGTACAACTGGCAAACTTCTTCTGTACAAAGGCTGCTGCTGCACAGGGTGCAGAAAAAGGTTGCTGCTTGGGCAGTGGTAATGTGGTGTTCCGTTCCTGGAAGCCCTGTAAGTCTGTTGCCCAAGCAGTGCGCCTCCTCTGTGTGAGGCGCACTGCTTATGCAGGACTAGGAGACCAGTCACCTCATGCAGTACTTGGATTGTTTTGATGACCCACAAAACTAAGCACTGTGCCAATACTGGAAGGCCCTTGTGGTTGCCACTGGAACAGAAAAACAGATTGGGATTTGTCAGAAAGATTCAGTTGTTGACTTGGACAAAGCCAGCACCTGATAAACATTCAAGATGTGAATGTCTGACTCCCACAGAATGATGATGAAGTAGAGAAAGCTGCAGGAATGATGCCTTGGTTCACATGAATGTCTGGCACTACCTTAGGAAGAAAACTGATGCTGGGACAGAAAACCTGGTAATCTCTATGAAAGGTGAAGTAAGGAGGATCAACAGGAGCGGGGCATAGCTCATCAGGGTACTGTGCTGATGAAATGGCTACAGAAACACCACCTTGCAAAACAAAAGGCAAAAATCTACAATCACAAGGAGCTCAAAAGGCTTGAAGGAAAATGCCTGCAGAACAGTGGAAAGGTTCAAAGTTGGTACCCTCTGCTGGATCTAAAAAGCTACGTTACAGACCGCTCAAGAGACTGTTTTGCCTTTGGATTCAGGAAAACTAAAAAAACCCTTCAACTAGGAAGAGAGAATCAGAAGTCACAGCAAGCTAAACATGGAGAAAAGAATGACCAGGTGATCAGGATAAGATGCATGCCATCAGTTGTTATCTTTGCCAGGAACCAGGTAATGAGTGGGAAGCGAGCATGGGAAATCCAGAACAGCACTGCTTTAGTAGTGGATGTAAAAGTCTCTCCTACTGATTGTGGATCTAGGCCAGACAAGGGCATGGATTCACCTTCAAAGATCAGAGCAAGGCCTGTTTTCTGTTCAGGGAGGTGGGTGGTTGAAAAAGTGCCCCATCTTCTTCCAGAGGAAGAACTGATAACTTTACAAAGCTACCTTGTTCAACCTCCAAATTTCCAGGGTTGCCAAAGAATACAGCTGTCTGCCCAAGGTGACAACCCTTTCTGAACACAGGTGATGAATAAAGCCTCCATAATTTACACTGTGCTGCCTCAACAATAATACAGTTTGGGGCACAGTGAGCAAAGAATAAGTTAGCATCTTCCTGTGGAAGTAGATGCATCCCCTCAAGTTATTTTGATGTGGAAGATATGGATGTGGGGACTTTCTACAACTGCTGCATGGAATGCAATAAAAGAAGAACCACCACCAGACGGGATTCAGTATTCATAGTGTTCAGCGTGGGATTGTAAGCAGTGAAAATGGATTGCCATCCTTCTGATCCTAGGGACTTGGCCATATGAACAGCACAATCTGAGAACTGTCCCATATCCTCTGATGGGGAGATTACATCATGAGATCCTACTGTTGCATTCTACGACAAAATGAACAACTACAGTTAAGAATGGGGACTCCAAATGGTATCTGTTCCTGTTAAAGAGCAGGGGATCCACTGGAGGACCTGGCTTCTGCTGCTGTGTGTCTAGAACCAAGGGCAGGGATAAGCTGCCAATGCTGATTGAATCTCAGTCAGGAATTGGAATGGTGGAGGATGCTTGATCTGACAGGACTGAATGTGTTGGTGATATAGATGGAGGCAGAAGAAGCTCATATGTCTATCTTCTGAAGGCTCAAGGAGAATCTCTTTTACTTCCCTTACCAATTTCAAACTATAGATATGCCCAGTTCTCACTGAGATCCAGGATTAAGAGGGTGATGAATGGGGGCCCAAAAACACATACCCCGTCCATCACCTCTTTGTGTCATAATACCACCCCATCAAGCAAGCACTGAGGTCTCCCCTTCTGCCTTTCTTCTTGCATGTTCATTAGGTGGAGCCAGCCATGCAGCGTGGCTTTGGTCTTTTTGTTTTTCCTGCTATTTACCCTCCTCAAGGTAAGGAAGTTGGAAGCAGTCAATGTAAAGCATGAGTTGCTTGACCCTTGGGGGACACTGCAAAAAACAGTGCTGGTCAGAGGAAGAAGGTGCTCTACAGAGTTCTCCCAGACTCCTGCTTCACTGCCAGTTAACGGGGCAGGGTACTCTTCCCTGCTGAGGCAGAATTACATGGCTGGACCCTGCCTGCTGCTCTAGGGGAGTATTATGCCAAAGATGCCTCTGAGAGCAAGAAACAGGTAATCCATTGTGAACAAACATTAACTGAGCTGTTTCATGTTCCGTGCAGGTGGCAGTAGATAGCTGCTTACCTGAAAAATCAAGGGCACACACTCCTCTTTGGTGTTGGCCTTTCAGCAGTGATAAACATTTGAGCGTTTGTGTATCCCAAACGTGAATAGCAGCATCTCTCCCAACCTAAATAAGAGTACTGATCTTAGAAGCCGAACACAAAGATCTGACAGTACTAATTCTGTTTGCTTTGCTGTGATGCTGTTTTTATGGTTTTATCGTATTGTATTGTGATGTTTTATGGTTTTATTGTATTGTATTGATTTATCTTCATTTTTGTGCCATTTTGTACACAGCCCTGACGTTCAAGGATGAAAGGTGGTTTTAAAAGGCTTATATTTAGTAAATACATAATCAAGCATTTCACATTGGCTACCCTCTGTTCCATGGTTTGGGGGCCAGAGTTCTCTATTTTCTTGTCCCTCTTTCCAGCCACATTTAATAACAGTGGATTGCAACCTTTTTTCTTGTACTCATCCACAGCGTTGTCATTCTGACCTGGTTGGTTCTCATTGCCACCTCAAGTGGCTTCTCATTTCATCCAAAACTGTTGAGGGGGGCTTGTTGGAATGCTTAACAAACCATCCCACAAAGCTTCAACAGGCTAAGGATTCTGGGTGGTTTGTTAACCACCCCAAAAAGTCACCTTCGCCAGATTACAGAAGGCTGTGCCTGGCAAGGAAAATTCTGTAAATCAACCAGCATGCACAGGGAAATTAACAGGACACCACGGATTGTTAACCACCCTCTGATGGTGTGAACCAGACCTCTATCTTCTGTTTTTCCTCCTGCCACTCTTATAATTTCTCCAGCACTTTTTCTCTTTCTCCTACTGTTTGGCTTCCGGCAATTGCTGCACTAAGTTTTAAGCCTTCAAGCATTTCTCTTCTTTCAGAGTTCTATTTTTGGAATGACCCTTTGACCAGTGCTACCATACTGATATCCAAATATCTAGTAGACTCTGACTTGCTTTCTTGCAGACAAACTAAAGAAAATTGCTTCTATGATTTGTACTCTAGGATGTCTAGTCATCAGGGGATTTTTATCTTCTCTAACCTGTACCTCTTTATTTTTTAAATGTTCTTCTTTTATTATTCATGCTATATTTTTTTGTCGAAGAAATGTATGACAGCCTTTCTCATCCTGGTATTCTCCAAATGTCTTGATCTGCAACTCCTGTAAGCACTAGGCACCACAATCAATGGATAGAGATGCTAAGAGTCATAGGCCAAAACAACTGGAGGGTGACAAGTTGTCCACACTTGACCTTTCCTGATAAAAGATTTATCTACCAGTCTGTCAATATTAAAGTGGGAAAACTGTGAAATATGGACACCTGAAACCTAGCACACATACTAAGAAGACCTAGGGGTCTCCAACTTTGGTTTTTAAAATGCATTTGTTAATTTTAATTAAGTATAATGTATTCATGTATTTGAAGACAAAGGTTCTGTCTTTGGTTACTAGGTAACAGACATCCCTAACTAGCATATAGCTTTGCAACAAACACACTCTTCCAGCTCATGGCTCTTCCAAGCCATGAAAAGTTAAATCAGTGGTTAATAAGCAAATGAGAATTAGTAAGCACATGGGAAAGTCCATTTAAGTGACTCCATTGCTTTTTTTACACTGATTTGCCAACATACTTCCTCACCTGTCCGGTAGCAACAAAATCTTTTACAGGATGGATAGCCAGGCTGAGGATATCATCATCATGACCAAGATACAGTCTTTGAGTGTGTTGTTGTCTACTGTACACAACAGCAACAGCAGCAATATGGTAAACAACCTCCCCTGTCTGTGTGTAGAACAAGTTGTTCCGACAGTCATAGCCTCTGTAACTGAAACAATAAAAAACACCAAAACACAAACACTTCAGCAAGGATCTTGCACCATAGTCCTAAGTTTCTTTATGTTCAGGCACCTTTTGCTGATATGTAGGTGGCCTGTTTCAAAATAATGTACTTAGCATGCAGGTAGTAAGAGAACAATATGAGAAACATTACAAGCTTGGAGGTAAATCTGGAATTCATACAAGCAGCAAACTACCTGATTTCTGTCATATTCAAAATTAGTAGTAATTAATATCTACAATCAATTCTTTTTTTAAATGGTTATGCAAACATTTTCCTTGCTTCCTGTATGTGCCCTTCCAATTTCTCTTAAGTTCTTAACTAAATCTAATCTTCCAAGTTCCACACAAGGTAACAACTTTGTTAACTAGTCTTATATACTGATGAATTGAATCAATACATATTCCCACATGATATTCTGTGCAGCTTTTTTCCTGTAATGATTCCAAGCAAAATATATGTGCAGTTTTCTTTCTTGTGCAAAGTATGACAATAGCTTATTAAATCATAGCAGGTTCAGTCAAGCAGGCTTCCAGCAAGTTCAAATGATCAGCGATCCAGAAAACAACTGTGGAAGCCAACTATGATAAAAAGGTAAATGCTGCTTTAATCAACCGGGATGGATTAACTCCTGCCTCCTTCCAAACAGATGGTCTCCAGCACTGGGGCTGTTGCAAGTTGTAGCTGAAACATCTGGACAGCACCAGACTACCTTCACCTGATCCAAAGGTTTATAAATTTCCAGAAAAAAAATATTTAGTGCAAGGAAACTTAACAGGGAGGAAAGTCCAAAAATATCCATGAGCACTGAGCATGCTTAATGGGCATGGAATACTGACTAACTGCTGGAGTGCGGAGAGGATGGGCAAAAAGACAGGCTGCTTACCTGTAACTAGTTCTTCTGAATGGCCATCTGTGCATTCATACATGTAGGCTTCACAGTGCCTCATTCTGGCAAACTTCCATAGTTGAGGCATTTAGGTGGGAACTTCTACCCCACCTCCCAGCACACATGTCTCTAGTGGGTTCCCACCTCTTTCTGCACTTCCATGAAAATGTCTACTGTGGCCTCCAAGCTGAGAGTTAAGTTTGATATTGAGAAAGTTATGAATGTAATCACAATACCACAATAGAAGGCTTTCCTCCATATGGTCCTCAACAGACTCAACACCAAAGTGGGAATAGTAGGTGAGTTGTGTGAATGCTCACAGGTCCACTCAAAAAACTACAGGTAAGCAACTTGCTTTCCTTCTTTGTGGTCTCTGTGCACCATATTTATGGGTGATTAGACTGATGGCTTACTAGAGGTAGACTGGTGTTCTCATTGTAAGACAAAAAACAGAACAGCAGAAACAATGGAGCTATTGGTGTATGATAAACCATGTTGCTGCAGTGCAAAGTCTTGCAAATTGACTCTTTCAAAAGCCACAGAGGAAACAACTCCTCTAAGACAGTTTGCTTGTGTCTTGTTGTCCTGCAGCCTCATCCTGCAATTTGGTATGCTAAAGTCACTGCTCTAACTACTCAGTGAGTCAGCCTCTGCAAGGAAATGAGCAATCCTTTCCACTTCTGTAACACACAGAGGCAAGGCAATTTTCAGAAGGGTTCATCCCTGGCTTTGTAGAAAGCTAGTGTGTGTCTGGCAAGCAGCATATGGAAAACATAGCTGGACAGAAAGGGGAGAATCAAAGGGAAGGAAACCAAATACTTTCATTTAAGTGATAATCTGGAAAAACTTTGGGAAGGAAGGTTTATCCAGGTGGAGAACCTAAGTTATCTTTATGAAAAATTGTATATGCAGGGTCATCATCAAGGCTGACAGCTCACTTGAGTAACAGGGTGATGCGATAGAACACCACTTACCAGGAAAGAAGGCAAAGGTATGTAGTTGCTATTGGGTGGAATGGTTTTGCTGTGTGGGCCCAAAGCATGACCAATAAGACTCTGTGCAGAAGTGAATGAGCATGCGTGAAGTGCTTAACTGTCTATATGCCACACAGAGACTACTTCATTAAAGGGTGAGAGGGGAAAAAAGGAAACCTTGCACTGGTGAGTGTGGGGCTGGAATGTCTGCCAGACAGACCCTGATGGAGGAATACTTGAGAACCCTCTCAAACAGAACAAGCAGAAAATGAAGCATCTGATCCAAGGAACAAGAAAGAGGATCAAGACCTTCCCTCAGTATGAGCAATGAAGAAAGTATCCCACTGCCTAGCATAAGAATCAGTGGAGGTTTTCAAGCAGCATCCAGAATAGCTAGGATAGAAGGAATGTTTACTGTAGCCTCCCTATACAGCTGTAGGGTCATAATGAGCATTCCATCTATCTGTTGCAATCATGGCCATGATTGAAATATGTAAAAAAGGACACCCTTTTGCAGTTTTTGAGGATCTGTCCACCAAGTAAGGTTCATAGCTACGTATCACAGCAAACTTCAGGCAAAGATCTGAAGCCTAAACATAACAGTTTTTCAAAAGTCTCATCCACAATTGAGCATAAAGAACTGCCACTGTGGATTGCCTTGTGTCCCAAAAGGTGTTGTGTTATGCTAGGTAATCTCAGGAAGCACTATACCTCAAAAGTGGGCACTAGCCTTCCTGGCTACCTGGAGAAGTTTTGGCTCTTTTGCTGGAATAGAGCATTCTAGGAAAAAAGCATGACTCTCAGGTGCCTGGAACACTGCACCATTGTTTTGCAGGGCTCATTTTCCCAACAGCCTATGGCTGGTGGAAAGGTAGACCGAGGGAAAGGGAAAACTCAAAAACACATAAGAATGCACTTCTTGATTTTGTGGCAACTCCAGGCAGTATCTCTAAATCTAGATGCTATTTTTGGTTTTGCTAAGAACAGATTACCCCTTTTCTGTAAACTGTGGTCTATAAAAGCAAAAAAGTAAGACAGTCATTACTGAAAAGTTATTATACCCATGTATAAATTGCAGCTTTAAACTGTCCTCAGGGGCTCTCTCTCTTTTAAGGAATGGCACTGAATGGTTTTTCTCTTTACTTTGCTGTTTCAGCTGAGGTAGATCTTCTTTGTAAACCTAAAATAATGATAGTTTCAGTGAATTTCTCAGTTCAGTAATTCACATTGTTTAATGTTATTTCTGACAATGACAGGTTTAACAATTTGCAAAATCAGTACCAGTATCCTGTATCACAGCTTGCCCCAACCTTGTGGTGCCTCCAGATGGGCTGGACTTCAGCCCCCACTATTCTCAGTCATTATGCCCATGCTGGATGGGGATGTTGGGAGTTGTAATCCAACATATTTGAAGGCACCAGCTTGTAGAAGGTTGTACTGCATAACAAAATCAGCCTGTTTGAAAAGATTATTTGTTCTATAAACATCTCAAATACCCCATAAGAAGGGATTTTAATACCCTTTCTTTTTGAATGTTTCCCCCATCTTAATTCTCTCTCTTTTTGCAATGTTATATTTAGGTCATACCATATTTTCTTCCTGGGATTTTGGTGGCATAGAAGCAGTTTGTAAATGTCACAAGAACTGGGGGAGATATGCTTGCTCTGCTAACATTTACCCTAAATATTATAAATGTAAATCTGTTAAAGAGGTTCTTATGAAATGCACAGCTCTAGAGCTGCATGAAATCAGGCCCTATGTCATCAATTTAATCCAGCAGAACACTGAAGAACAGCTTTAAATCTTTATGTATTTTTGTGTGCATGAGATTTTCTGCATTGAGGGGTTACAGGATTCTAATTTGTTGACAGGAGGTTGGTGTGTTCTTTTCTTTTTGGCAAAACCACTTATCTGTGTTTTACCTATAAAGCAGAAGCATACCTGGCATGCATACAACCTCATTCTCACTTAAGTGTCTTCTGAGTCATAGCAGTGCCACCTGTTCTTCCCAATGGGCCCTTTGCGCCATTGCTTCATCCCAGCCCATCACTATCCTTCCACACCTTTTGGTCATATTTACGGCACTTTCAGTGGACTTGTTCCCTTATTGTAAAGCCTACAGACTTACAACATGCATGATATACCTGGTATCATAAAGAAATATTAGACTGAGGACCGATATGCAAACACAAGATCCTCCTGTATGTACATAGTGGGTTTTGATAATGTCCACAACCCACTGCAAAGTTTTCTTGAGAGACCTACTGAACTGCTCTGGAAGAAGCAACCTGAGTCCAAGTCACAGTACTCAAGGCTAGTTATTCAGCACTCACAGCAAGTAGTCCTTATAACAGGGAAGTGAATGGTCTGTGATAGTAGTCAGGGAGGAGGCTGGCCCATCCCACAATTTGCCTGATATTGGTATATGGTATACATGCATTTCCTCAGATGCCTCAACACCCCTCCCCCACCAAATAAATTGTGTAGGTGGCCACAACTGATAAATAACATAATTCTAGCTGCACTAAATTTATTGCATATACACATACAATTTTAAATGCATACTTATGCATGCTTATTTCCTCTGCATTTTATTTCAAATAAGTTCCTGTTATATTGATAATAGGTACTTGCTTTCTATTTTTATTAAAAGGAGAATCAGACTATGCATTGACATTTGTGGTGAATTTTATTAGGATGAAGAAAGAAAAAATATCCTTTACTTTTTCTTACGTAAATTGTGTTCAAAACCACTACAAAATAGTGTAAATTTGAACAAATAAAACAGTAACAGAAATGAATTAGACAGTAATAAAGAAAAAATTAGAGAGGAAAAGGGCATACATTTCCCAACATGCCTTAGCCAGGGAATGTGGGAATTGCAGGATCTTTCCCTTCAAAATATGTGTGGGATTGTGGCCTTGAACTGTATGGGAGATATCCAGTGTTGCATAAACAGACTTCCATTCATGCAATAGTCATTTCCCCACCTCATGCCCTTTCCAAGTCTTCTTCTGATTCCCTCAAATGTCTGGGGCAGATTTGGAAGGTGGGCTTAGGGTTACAAGATGGAAGGGGAATTGACCTCCTCTGCTGATGAAATTAATTCTGTTAAAAGGAGGAATTATTGGGTATTACTTTATTTATGTAAAACATTTTTATCCTGCTTATAGATTGCTGCAAGAAATTGTAGTGTGTGTTTGTGCACATGTACAAAATCTAAAACTAAAATGGTGTATTAACCATGAGACCAAATATTCCAATCCTATAGATGAGTCACATGGACAACCTTTTGATTAAACACATGCACCACCTTTTAGGTATTTATTTTTGATTTATGATGCATTTTCAGATTGCTGAGTTCAATGACACTGTATTTACATGTTGCTCACCTGTCGAATGTAGTTGATTTGAGCTTCTTGCTCAATATCTGAGTCTAATTCTGGCACATCAGATAAATCTGAATCGGATTCTTCACTGTGTGAATCTATGCCACTTTCTGCATAAGTGAGAATGCACCAAATAATATTAGTTATCAAAAGGAGATTTAAACCTAAAGTCACATTCCCAGGAACAATGAATGCAAAACCTTTAGCCACTTTAAAGCACTGGGAAAAAATACAAGGATTTAGTGAATATTTCTGATATGACAAAACAAATGTACAGACTAATCCACCCAAAGATGAAATGCAAACGCAGTGCTGACTAAGCACTTGAAACACCTGCTCTAATATGGTTTATCAAAATCTATCTCAAATTTCATCAGCACATACTACAGATAACAGAAATTCTTGGGCAAGTTGCTGTGCTACCATTACACTCCTGCTCATTCCATTATGCCTGCAGAATCCGCCACAAGCACAAAGGTGAGTTAGCACTTCATAAATGTTTAGCCAAGAATGCACCGGGGGTTTTTAAACAATTTTTTAAAATTTGTTGCATTGTTATTATTTATGTATTTATGTATCCTTTGTGAGCCGCCCCGAGGCTTTGTTGCGATGGGGACGGCATAGAAATGTTTTAAATAAATAAATAAATAAAGCAACCCCAGAAACAAGTTGAAAAACTAGTTTATTGATCAGGATTGATCAGAAGAACTCCATTCTAGAAACTCCACTGACTGGTCCCAATGCAGAAACTCGCATTTCTGTTCATTTCCAGTTTTGCTATGAGCAATTAACTCCCCTTTGCTCTAGTGGTGAATCTGCTGGTGTATAGGTTGAATAGAATACTGCCCATTTACTTGAAATAAATGCAGAATATGAATATTAGGAATGGATGATTAAGTACTACAAACCTTTCATATTTAATAGAGTTATATAATGCAAAAGCTCACTAACAATAATAAATACTAGCAGAAATAGAGCATTATAGTAATCCACCCCTACAAACATGCCATTTGTGTTTGGATCTGGCCTATATAAAGCTCCTTTGGGATTCTAAAAAAATATAGAGAAATTTGAATATATCCTCAAGCAAGAAAAGTATTCACAATTGACACTTCATTTATATACATACTAACTTAATAAAATATCCATGTAACCTTTCATGCATAACCTTGACTTTTCATGGATAACTATGACAACTAAAATTTAATTTGAGTTCCCTCATTGGCTTTAGCTATATCTCTCTGTAGGTATCTAAGATTATTTTTTTTAATTTTCTGATTTAATGTGTGCATATTCCGTGATGTACAACATGCATGCTACCCATCTATTATTTGAGCAAATGTGCCCAAGATAACCAGAGGTGTATATTAAAGTAAAAGACAATGCACACATTAGACTTGGGTATTCTGGGGAGTAATAATTAAATGTTTCCATGTAAACCACCAAAGCCTTTTTTACAATTGCAAAACTTGTGAAAACAAATTTGATTTTTTAATACCTTGAGGTATTGTTTCAAGGATCCCATTTGTCACACCTTCTGGAATAAACCGCCATTGAAACACAGAATGATCTGCACCTCCAGTACTTATTACCCACTGAAAGTCATGTGACCAACGAACATTAGTAACATGTGCAGAGTGGCCAACATATTTTCTGAATTTAGCTCCTAGAATTTGTAAAAAGATAAGTTAATATACAATTCTGTTTCAAAATTATATAACTTTCTCTCTGTATGTTCATAAATGTTAATGTACTCTGCATAAGTTATAATAAATGTGTGCGTATATGTGTATCTATATAATCAATATGTAGTTTTACTTTTTTTAGTAAACAGTAAAAATAACTTGTTTTCACTAAATTAAACTTACTTTGTTACTTGTTCTTCATATCAATATAGTCAAAATAGGCTATTCATATACCTTATTTTTCTATAATAGGGTTTTTTGGGTGAAGTAAGCCCTTTGGTATAAAAAGGCTGTTGTAATCATGGAAGATATTAGTTGCTGATAATATATTTTATTTAAAACAATTTTAAAAATTCTTATTCCTTAAGGATCCACATTACTCTTTGTTATTTCTGTTTTCATGGCTACCTCCCTGAAAATAGTCTGTAATGATTTCTGATTCAGTTTTTTATAAATGTCAACAGAAAAATCATGGAATTTAAATCCACCATCAATGGTAAATCAATTCATCATTATTGGTAAAATGCTCATCTCATTTGACCCTTTCATTAACATTTCAGGGCCTGTAACATGAAGCAGTTTCGGATATGTTACATACTATATTGTCATAATTTGATAATCATTTCCCCTTACATTGGTATAATTAGAAATTATAAATAGATTTGCGTATATGTGTTCAGATTTCAAAATGTATCATATGATTAATTTATTTTTGTTTGCCCTTTCCACATGTGTGCCCAAAGCAATAAAAAAAATTAAAAAGTTTTAACAACAGCAACCACAACAATAAAGGAAATTAAACAAATGTAATAAACAACAACATAGTAAACCTGAAGCAGAAATCCTGTCATATCAAAGGCAATCTTTACCAGATAAATAAGAGACAGAAATGAAGGTGCCAGGCAGGAGTTCATGGGGAGGGTATTCCAGAGAGTGCCACCACAGAAAAGTCCCCTTTTCCAGCTTATTTCTTGGGTTGGGGGCACATAGAGCAAGGGCTCTGCTGAATGGGTTTGCTCACATAGAAGCAGGAAGCTTGTTTTTGATTGACCCTGGTCTCAATCAAAACCAGAACTTCACATTGTGCTTGGAAACACTGGAAGCCAGTGGGGATATTTCAGCATAGCTTACATAAGCTTAGTGCAGAAAGTCATGCAAATAAAATCACTGTCCTAGGCCTAATTCAAGTAATCACATGCAGCTTAGTAAGCCAAGGCACTAATGAGACCTTTGGCTATACACACAGGTCCTTTGCAGGGGGAACAATCAAACCAGTAATTCTTCCATGAAATATTGTTTCCCATTTAATATTTAAAGAAAGTTTTCCAAGGGTAGCTCACAAACCATCTACTAAAAAAGCACAACATTAACATTATCAAAACATGGCTATGATAAGGTTATTTGTACAATCTCAGTAGTCTTCATGAAATACTTTTGGATTAAAAAAAAACAAATTAGTCATGTCTTGTATTATTTTCTCAAACGGAGGCAATGACCTGTAGGATTTGTTTGAGGATCACAGGATACTCTGGAACCTCAGCTCCATTGCAGGAGACAGCACTCTGCTAACTGCAAATTAATGCTCCAGTCACCCTTGCAGCCTGCTTAGAAAAAATGGTGTTGGCTGTTCCCAAGGTTGGAAAAACAACCTCAGGGAGGGGTAGAAAGAGGCATTTTGAGGGCTGAGGAGGGGAAGAGTCTAGAACAGACAGAATATGAGGTATCCTGAAGCTGCTCCTGCCTCTTTTCTTCCCCTGTCCACTGTTCTTCCCCTCTGCCCTGAAGGAATGTGTCTTTGAGTTCAGAGACTTTTGCTCATATCCATAAGACTTCACCAATATATATAATTTCTTTTAACTCAACTGTAAGAAAGCACAAAATTCACACTGTAGAACATCAGTAGAAAAGTTTACTTTCATTTAAATAGTAACACAAACTTGCACCTTTCTAATTTGCCTTTTTTCAAGACAGAAGATAATAGAATATTATTTTTAAAAAATCATCCAGGAACATGATGAAATAATGGGGGAGGGGACACAGACAGATGCTCCTCATATAATCTACTCTATACATAATTTAGTATCTGTGAGAGATATTTAGTTAATTAACAGAGCTGAAAAGAAGATACAGGTTGAAGAAATTAAGAAATTCAGTTATGTGTCACTTCTATTATCAGAGCATGTGCAAACACAAGCTGCTGAGGAGCTTGGGTAGGTGGAACACTTGTACCCATCCTGCTTGAGGGATCCTATGAACAGCTGGTTTGTCATCATGTGAATAGAATGCTGGGTTGGGTGGACCTTTCTTATGTTCTTAACACAAAGATCTCTGGGACAGTGAGACATTTGAATTTTTCTTTTCATCTGTATATACTGGATGGTAGATTCTTTGGGTCAGAGTCTAAAGGGTTTTATAATGTCAGTTTTAGAGCAAGATATAAATAGTAAAAGATCTTACAAGGCTACTGTTACAGTGTAGCCAGAAGGCCTTTTTTCTCATGACTCTGAAGTCTGTTTTGTTTTATAATATATTTGAAAAGACATTGATAGAAACACATTCTGAAAGCCAACAGAACCCAGAATGATAGATAAAGCTCAGAAGCTTTGTATTCAGCAAATTTTAACTTGGTATCATATACTGTTTCCTGAATTTGGCAGCTGGCTAACAGTTCTTATTTCTTAAACTGAAATGCACATTCAAGTGGTCCAAGAGATATCAGTTGGCAGGAAAGAAACAGAAAGTGAGAGAGCGAAAGCAAGAGAGAGAGAGAGCACCCCAAAAAACAAAACAAAACAAAAAAACCTGAAAATGCTTTTAGTACTTCGTTCTGGTTCTGCAGAGAAACCTCAAAGAAGTGTCTCACCCTCCCCCGCATTCCCGACACTCTGTGTGGTGTATGTACCTTTGACTTTGAGCCACTGAATGTGTGGTTGATGGCAGGCCAATCACAGCTCATTGTAACATTGTTGTCTGGGTTTGGAAGATACATTGTAGGTCAGACAGACTTTACTACAAGCCATTAAGCTGTCATGGTGTTTTATAAGCTGAAAAGAAAGCACCTTGTGGAAAGCAATCTGGGTTCTCACAACACACGAAGCCACAATGGGTTGGTGTGTCATGACAACCCAGTCATTGTGACTGACTTTGATATAATTTTGCAGAAGGTGATTTTTCCTTAATGTGTATTAATAAATCTTTTGTTAATTGATTTTTTCTTTTCTAAAAGTAAGTAGCATTGACTACCAGGGTTTTAAGTAGTAAAACTAGTTTTACATCTTGTTGGCTGAATAATATATTCTGCACATGCTGTAACTTCCCTGAATGGTGGAATTTCTAGAGGCAATATTACCGGGTTTAGTTTTAGCTTGAATGAGATAACAAACAGAGGTCAAATGGATGATGGTATACTGTGCAATAGCATCAATTATTTTCCAAAGAAGCCCCTTCTCCCAACTAGCTGCAATCTCAGGCCTCATTCTCTCATGTTAGCGATATCACACTTTGCCTAATACAGTTCCTACCTCATCATGTTGGGTGTGTCTCTTGCCTTACTGAAATACTGTATTTTACCCATCCAAGAAAAAAATGACTGATCTTCAGCAATCATAAACTTAAAATCAGGAATACATGGTGCTGTGTCTTACCTTTTTTAAGACAAGGAAATCTGAACAATTTAACTAATCCAAAATCATCTCCGGTCACCAGAACAGCATTATTATAATTTCCATCTACTGAGTTGATGTCAATAGTGTTACTATACTTTGGCCAAATTCCATTCACATCTGGTCCCATCACACATGTCCATGAAGCCCAAAGAAGCCCTTTGACCTCATCTTTGCTTGTTAAATGCTTTCCCGCTGAAACAAAATCAAAATCGGATTTTAAAAATATTGTAGTAATTAATTAATAAAATATTAATCCATTTGTGTTTCAAGAGTGGCTGAACACAAATTTCTATCACACAATTTTTAAACGTTCTACATTTAGACAGTCCTTTTCATAGCATGAGTTTAGGAACATCTACTTGTTTCCTGATGGGCTATAGATCAGTTATAGAGCACACAGAAAACATGTTTCAAACTATGACAAGTCCAGATAGGAGTAGAAAATCCTGAAAAAGTAGTCTGAATCCTAAGGGAGCCCAATGCAGAGGACAAACTATTGTGTGTAGAGTCAAATAGCTCACATCTATGCACATTTTATCCTCTCTATTAGTTTGGCATCTGGGTACATGCACCAATCATAAAAGATACATGCCCAACCTCCAACTTAGGGAGTAATTCCTGTGCTTTGTTCATGAAAGGTTAGTCCTACCATTAAGGCAGAGTGAAGAAACCACCTCAGGTGAAAGATTTTGGATGTTACTAGAGAACAGTCATTAACAATTATTTAACTGTAAAGTTGAGCTAAAAATGCTGCCTTACATTTGCATCCTATGAAAGTAGGGCAGTAATTTTGGAAATATTCTTGGGGAACATGAAGAATTAGAATTCTTTAGAATTAGAAATAATTAGAATTAGAAATAATTCTGCCCTCTCACCACAGGCAATTTTGGCAAGAGCAGTAGCAAATTCATAGTCTTTTCTATCCTATCTTTTAACTAGAATCTCTGCTGGAAACTTTAACAGAAAAAGAGCCATGCTGGATTGGCCTGAGGCTCCATTTAGTTCAGCATTCTGCTCAAACAGTGGCCAACCAGTTGCCCATGGGAAACCTACAACAGGACATGAGTGCAGCAGCCCCCTTCCAGTCACTGGTATACACAGGTAGAGACTCCATACAGGCACGTCAGGAGTGGTGGGCCTTGCTACATCTTGTGGAAATGATTTCTGTAGTTTAACAATGCACTGTGTGAAGAACTACTGGTACTTGGGATGACCAAATCCATTAAGTTTGGTTTTCCTCAGTTCCCCGTTTTTCTAATCTGAAGGTTGGTTCATTCCTGACTTTAAGAATTTGTTTTTTAAACATTTACCTGAAAAATATATATGCATTTGTGTGCATGTCTCATAATATATATATGTTGTATATAATTTTAGCCAATATACACATTTTACAAGCATTTTCTTAAATTGTGTGTGTGTGTGTGTAGAGAGAGAGAGAGCACTAATGTGTGTGTTTTGGCATGCATGTTTTCCCCAATATATGAATTTTGTGTGGATCTGTAACTGGAGAACTCTATGACAAAATTTTGGAGGAAATTATCACATGGATATCCGTCCTTTTTCCCTCTTGCAAGGAACCCACAGAGGATTATACAGTCCTCCTTCTTGCCATGTTATCTTCACAATGGCCCTGTGGGGTAGGTTAGGCTGCAAGTCACTGACTCACCCAAAGTCACTCAAGTCAGCCCCATGGCCAAGTGAGAACTAGAACCCAGAACATCTGAATGTCAGTCCAACATACTCTAACCACTATGCAACACTGGCTTGGTGTAGTGTATAAGTTTGACAGCATTAAATAAATTAAATAAGTTTGCATTAAAACATGAGCCATCCCTACTTACAGGAGCACAGTGGCAATTTGCAGGCTGGTGGGCTTAAATCTTCCCAGAGCCTCTCTCAGTGCTTCCAGACAAAGTTTTAATAGGGTTACTGACCTGCCTGATTTGTGAAATTTTATAGGGGTCACTGGGTGAGTGAGTCCAAACAGAAGTAGCATCTACTTGTAACCCCCCATGTCCTCCCAATGCTGCTTCTGTTTTTTTTTAATACAGAAAATCCATTTAGAAGGTAGACTAGCTGCACGAGGAACCCTCCATTTACAAGAAAGAGATGGCGCTGCTCCAGAGACCTTGTTGCAGCAAAATGTGGAGCTGCCTTTTTCTTTTCTTTTTTATGAACAACATCTCTGGAGTTATGGTACCTTTTAAAAAAGGAGGTGGGATTACTGCACTGCTACTGACACAAACTTTTTAATACTGTGTCCAAGCTCAAAAAACATTGGTCATCTTGATGTTGAGATTTAGACATCTCCACTTCTTTTGAATTCTGAAACTTTTGACTCTATTATTTCTTGGTGAGTCAAAAGAAAGTCTAGGTCAGATCTTAGACTTTCTACACACAAAGCAAATTTCACCTTTAACCACTAGGTCCAGAACAAATTTCACATGGAAGGTATTCTGGATTTTCTTTTGTCACCTGTTGTTGTTGTTCATTATATTTCTCTGCCATCCATAAATGAAGCTCTCTGGGCAGTTCACAACATTAAGTCACCCACTGAGATTTCAATCAGGCCCGCCCCTGCTAAACTTCCATGATGAGGCAGGGTCAGGCACTTCAGTTACAAGGTATCATTTAATAAAAGAGCCCATAATTCTATTTACAGCCACTTAAAATCTCAAATATGGCTACAGAAGAAAACTTCTGAACTTACATGGCATCCTGTAGAAGAAGCGTTCTCCTGCACCATCATTAGTTTGTAAGAATTTACTATCCAGGGACCAATCAATATGAGTGATAAAACTAGAAGACTTGCTGCATTCTCCAGTTTTCTTGTACCGCTGGGCAACTGCATAGATATCCACTGGGCCATCGTTAGACCCCACAGCAAGGTAGCAACCATCTGGTGAAAATTTCATTTCATGAATTACTTCCTTCCGGTCTTTGATATGAACTACTTCTGTCATATCTCTGTAAAAATCAAATGTTGAAAGCATTTGCTGTGTGCCTATGAATGAAAATGACCCCAGAAAACCTATGCCACTTCAAGAGTTCAAGATTACATTACATTATATTCATTTGTTTTAAAATAGACCACCTTACAGCTCCCAAAAAGAACAGAAAAACATTAGAATAGAGATTTTCTTCCAGAACAATTACATATATTAATTTGAAATAAAGACAAAACTGATGTTTGTTTCTTTCATGTTTTTTTCTTTACAAAATAATCTATGGCTTAGAAGGTCTAGTGAGAGCTTTAAGTTAGCCTTATTGACTCAGTGGCTCTTGAAGTTTCTGTGATACCTGAATGAAAACACGAATATAAACTCATTGGCCTTACATTGCCTTGTATTTGGGCTTTCCATTTGACGATCAAGTTATTGCACTGTATGTGCTATATGTAGGAACTCTTTTTTAAGTACAATCCTCTCTGTCCCCTTCACTTTGACTAAAAGAAATTCCACTCCAGAGACTGTGCATATGACTGCCTTATACCACAAGCTTATACGTACCTACTCAGGAGTAAGTCCCACTGAGTTTAATGGCGCTTGGGCTGAGAGTCTGCGACAGGGCCAAGTCACCAAGCTGCCTCCATGGCCAAGTGACTAGAACCCATATCGCCTAAGTCCCAGTCCCATGCTCTTTACCACTGCACAACACTGGCTACTTCCCCCATGTTCTTCAGCTTGCTCTTGTTTTACAATAAAAAAGCTCCTCATACCTTTTTGTTAAATTTATTCAGCTGCAGAGTTCTGAATCATTAACAATGGTGCTATATGATGAAAACAAAATAATCCTAAATATTTAAAATGGATACTTATTTTCAGTACCTTAACAAGCATAACCACTAACTACATTTGTTATAATCCTTAGGCCAGGGGTTTCAAACTCGCGGCCCGTGGGCCAATTGCCGGGATGGGCGGGGCACGGGGGAGGGGCCCTGCGGCCTTCAAAGCGCTGGCGGCACCCGGGCCAGCCACGGGATGAGTGGCCCCCCACCACCGCGGTGGTGGAATACTTGATGCGGCCCAGCCTCACCCAGACTCTACTTCCAGTGGCCCCCAGGTAAGTTGAGTTTGAGACCCCTGCCTTAGGCAATATGTACAAGCCATAACCAGATAGCATGACCACTTCATGTGCATAATACGTCACAGAGTGTCTTCCAGTTGTGCCCATTGTTCAATATTACCTAGACATCATGCATGCTGCCTGGATAATGTGTGAAATCTCTTATCCACATTGTCACTTTGCACATACCTTCCATGTGCATAATCTCTGGTTCTATCTCTGAGTTCAAATTACAACAGATACTTAAAGGGGCCAAGATGTAACAATTCTAGACCAATTATTCAATTCTAGACCAATTATCCAATGCATGTTGTTGTTAGTCGCCAACTCGCATCCGACCCATTGCGACCCCATGGACAACATTCCTCCAGGCCTTCCTGTCCTCCACCATCCCCTGGAGTCCACTTAAGCTCACTCCAACTGATCCAATCATACCCAACCATTAATTTGCCTTGCACTCATGCACTCTGCATTTGCAAAACACAACAGCCATAGTGCTTTTTTAAAATCTTTGCTTGCTGTGTCATCTAAACCCAGTCGTGGTATTTCAGCATGATAAATTCTGCCATTAGAAACTGCAATAAGAAACAATGGGTTGTTTTATGGTTTCTGCTTACAATTGCTTTTTTGTGACATCTGAACCTAGACAACAAAACCCATCATGGTAGAAAGCCCAGAACAAGTGAGCTGCTTGGCAAGAGTAGCAGTGAGCTGTCAGAGGCATCCTGGCTCCCCCCACTTGGGGACAGTGCTGTTCAGCTGATTCTCCCCTTCTCTTGAAAGGCTCTCTCTCAAGCAGGAGCAGGGAAGGGAGAACCTGGGCTTGGTTCATTGTGGTTTCTTGGTGTTTCAGGCAACAATGGGGACAGTGTTTACTGTCCCAATTTACCATGATGGGTTGCTGTGATATATAAAGCCACCCACTATAGCTTCAACCCTCCCACTCATGTACACAGTTTTGAGGAAGGTACCATGGTTTGTTACAACAGTTTCGTGCTAGGTCTGAACAGTGAAAGCGGTTTGTAAGTGCTGCTTACAAGCATGGATATCAAAGCACAATCTGATCACAGTAAATTGTGATAAGAGAAGTTTCAAAGCTAGATATGCAAGAGGAGGAAGAAAGAAGAAGCATGTTAGCACACTACTCATTCTCAAGTCAAGACAGCTTTCTTCATCATACTGTCATGTCTGAACCAGGTACTGATTTGTGACAGAACTCTGCAAATAAGTATTAAAACTAATATATTTCTTTTCCTACCTCACTCTCAAAACAATGAAAGAGCCATCTTTCATTCCCAATGCTAGCTGAGCTCCATCAGGACTGAAAGAGACACTCCGCACAGCTTCCTCCATATTGCAACGGGCAATCAAGGCATGGTCAGCAAGGCTCCATAAGCTACGTGAGAATGAAAAACATGGCTGGTTAGGAATGGTGTGAGTGGCAGGACATATTTCTTTCTAAGCATGCATAGGATTGTGCTCCAAACAGCCCAAGCTAGGAAATCTTAAACAGGAATCTCAAACATACTTGCAAGAAGTAAGAATAACCCATTAAGAACAAGAGATGACAAATTGTAATTTGAAATAATTCCCATTTTTAAACCTATTTACTCAATGGAATATAGTAGATTCTCTAATCACATGTAGCCATACAGGCTCAAGTTGACTTCTTTAGGTAAAGTTATGACATTTAGAGCACAGTATGTCTAACACATACTCAAAGGGAGAGAGTCACTGGCAACTTTCAATAACCCAGAAAGGAGGAATTAACAGGTGCAGACTAAGAGAGATTTCAAATCTATTCCTGGTAGATAGAATGATCAGAAGAGATTTCCAGCCTGTATTCCTGGAGGTTGTAACATGAAAGATATGGGGAAGCCAGTCAACTGGATTTTTCTTTTAAGCGAAGCATTTTATTCTCAGGCCTTCCTGAACAGGGACATTCCTTCATTCTCCATGCATCAGATCCCGTTCTGGAAATCTATTGTGTATGTTGGGCTCCAATAAACATAAACATGGATGTGCCTCAGCATTTGTCCCAAGGCCTAATCTGTATTCTGGACACAACACTACTGTTGGGACAGAATATGGAGAAACAGGATGGCAAAGCTGTTCGACAAGGATGTATCTTATCTCCTTATTTGTTCAATCTGTATGCAGAACATGCCATAAGGAAAGGTAGATTAGGATCAAAGGAGGAAGGATTGAAAGAAAATAGTGTCAGAAGGCAATGAATTGAAATGATTCCTGAAGAAAGTGAAAGAATAAAGTGCAAAAGCAGGACTGTAGCTGAACATTAACAAAAATCATGACTACAGAAGAATTGCACAGAGCCAACAAAGAAGAAATTAAAGTTGTGAAAGATTTTGCAAACCTTGGTTCAGTCACTGATTCAAGATATTAGACAGTGACTTGGAGAAGCAGCAATGAAAGAACTAGAAAGATAATAAATTGTAAGAATGTTTCACTGGACATCAAGGCCAAGATCATCCACATTATTATATTTCTGAACACTATGTATGGATGTGAAAGCTGGAAAATGAAGAAAGTCAACAGGAAGAAAAATAATCCATTTTAAGCATGGTGGTAAAGGAGAGCTTTGAGAATACCCTGAACCAGGGGTCCTCAAACTTTTTCAACAGGGGGCCAGTTGAAAGGTGCTGGCAGGGGGCGTGAGCCGGTGAGGGAGGGAGGGAGGGAGGGAGGGAGGGAGGGAGGGAGGGGGCCTATGCGCATGTGGCGAGGCAGATGCGTACACGCTGCGAGGCAGCAGCTTGTTTGTGTGGAGATTGTTTTCTCTGAGCGAGTCCAAAACGATCTCCACGCAAGCAAGCCACTGCCTCGCCGGGCGTGTACACATGCGCGGCAAGTCCAAAACCTCTGAGGCAGGCTGGATGAATGGGCATGGCGGGCCAGGTCCAGCCCACGGGCCATAGTTTGAGGACCCATGCCCTGGACTGTTAGAAAGAAGGACAAGTGGGTCCTAGATCAAATTAAGCCAGAAATTTCCCTGGAAGCAAAAATGACAAAACTGAAACTGCTGTACTTTGGGTACATCATCAGAAGGCAAAACACCATGGAAAGGACATTCGCAATAGGGAAAGTCAAAGGCAGAAAAGGAGGCAAAACACCAAATACAAGATGAATTGATTTCATAAAGAAAACCACAGCCTTGAATTTCCACTGCTGAGCAGAGCTGTCAAGCACAAAACATTTTGGAGAGCATTCATTCATAAGATCGCCATAAGTCAGATATAACCTGACCACATGATTTTGAGTACTATCCAATCCAGAAGGTTGCTAAAAGCCAGATGGCATATAACAACAGAATAACCAAGGGAAATGAATGGTGCTCTTTCAGATTATTTTGTGGGTGCACAGGGTTTTGAATGGCTGATCACCAGTACCTTGATTTTTAAAATCACAATGAATTCTTGAAAAGCATAAGGACTGACCAGAATGACAATTTTCTTATCCTCTTGCCTTACCGTACAGATCGATCATCACTGCCAGTAACAACTAATGGTTTCTTGGGATGCACCGCCAGAGCCCAGAGCTCTCCTTCACAGTGACCTTGCATTATTAGCATTGGCTTATCTCTTTCTCTCACGATCACCTCAAATATTTCACTGTCCTGTGTCCCTGCTAAAAGCCGATCTGCTTTCCAACATACGCTTCGGATGGACAAACCTGAGAAAGATCAGAACAGTCTTAAAACAACAATAAGAATCAACATTTGTGCATTCAGTCAAAAGAAAATCTTTACTAGGTCATGCTAACTCAGTCAATTCTTCTTTGTTTGAATATTGTCCTATATGTCCAAAGTCAGTGCTATGGATTTTTTTTGAAACTAAGTGTGTTTCCTTAAATATGATTGATCAATTAAGTTAGATTATTTGTCCATCTAGCCCAGGACTGTCTACTCCAATTTGTAGTGTTTTTCCAGGTTCACTGGCAGATTGTTTTTCCATCACCTGCTACCTGATTCTTTTAACTGAAAAAGTCAGAAACTGAAACGGAAATATTCATACAAAGATTGTACTCTGCTATGACTAAGCTGTATTTCTCCCAAAAGACATAAAGCCGGACAAACAACATGCCCAGTGCTTCCCATCAGATATAAGAAAGCCAATGAGGGCCATGTTAAGACTTCTGTTTTCCCTGCATACCAGGCACTGCAAAAATAGGTGCCAAGCATCCAGCACACCACAATACATAACTGCTGTACTGCTTTTGGTTGGGTAGGTCACATGCTAGAGCCAGTGTGGAGTAGTGGTTAAGAGCATGGGACTGGGACTCAGGCAATCTGGGTTCTAGTCCTCGCTCAGCCATGGAGCCAACTGGGTGACTTTGGGCCCGTCACAGACTCTCAGCCCAACCTACCTCACAGGGTTGTTGTTGTGGGGATAAGATGGAGGAAGAGAATGATGTAAGCTGCCTTGAGCCCTTTGTAGGAAAAAGGCAGGATATAAAAAATCGATAAATAAATAAATGCTATCACTTAGGTAACACTGAGTGATGATTTTCTGATTCAATACTTAATTCCTCTTCCTTTAGCCTGGAATGGGCATCATGTTGTCCTCCAGATCTTGGGCTACCTCACCCATCATGCCTAGCTAGCATAGCCAATAATGAAGGATGATGGATAGTCCAACTACACTGAAAAAGCCACAGGTTGCCAACCACTGATTTAGGCAATTGCCTGTACCTGTTCATTACATCTTTTTCCATCCATCAGTTTGAGCAACAATTTACACAACATCACAATTCATTCTTTCTGAAGAGCTGACATTGACTTTTTTGTCTGATAAGAAAACAAGCATCCATTTCTCCCTCTATTTTACAGACTACATTAACAAAGTGCATTCGGCTAAGCACTACGCAACAGTTAATTCACACTGCTAGGAGGCTTACAATCTGTTTCAACAAACTGAAATCTCTCCTACTGTACAATGAGTAGATGTGCCACAGTTCTCATACAAGGCAAATAAAACTAATTTTGATCTCAACATTTCATCAAAATGATACATTTTATGTTTAATGTAGAATCATAGTTCAAGCTGGACATGAATGGGTTTTATCAGCTCTGAAGGTTCTCAGCTTAGGATTGCCCCTGGACCTTATTCAGTCCTTGAAGCTCAAGCTGCAGAGATGGCCAACAGTAAGTTTAGAATGAAATGCCAGCTGTGGTTCCTTTCTGGTAAGATCTGAGCTTGCTATCATTATACATACCTTGGCTACACTAAGTTAGATTATGAGCCTTTGAAGAAAAACAGAAACTTCAACTGGAGCAAAATGTGGTGGTGAAGGTTTTTACTGGAGACACCTACAGGAAACTAACAGCACTGATACTGCATCAAGGTCAGATTTAAAGTCTGTTTTTAACCTCTATACCCCTAAAAGGCTTGGCACTTTGTTACTGCTTTCACCTTGTTGTCCTTCCATCAGCAGGTAAAGACCACTTTATTTAACAAGGCTTTGACCTGTAAGTAGTTCTATTAAATATATCAAGAGCATGAATGAATTAGTCTATCTAGTCTAGCATTCTGCTCACCAACCAGTTGCCTGTGAAAAGCTACAGAGAGTATATGAGTGCAATTGCATTGTCCCACCCATGTTCCCCAGCAAATGGTGCACTTATTCTGCCTCGGACACTGGAGGCAGAAAGTCCAATAGTGGTCATTGATAATTTTCTCCTCCATGGATTGGTCCAATCTGCTTTTAAAGCCACCCAAATGGGGCAAGGCTACCTGGAAGAAGCCTGACCAGGTTTTAAGATGGGAAGGCCCTTGTTTCAGTCCTGCCAGCTTCAGGGTTGAGTTTGGTGGGGACAAAAAAGAGGGCTTTCTCTGAGGCCACTTCCAGGTTATGGAACTCCTTACTGGAAAGGCTAGTTTGGTTCCCTCTCCACTATCCTTCAGGTGGCAGACAGAATTGATTTTTTAAGCAGACTTGTTAGATTAGATATAATTTTTCTTCCATTATTGTTTTAATTGTACTTTTAATATAGTTGTTTTATTTGTGTTTTGATCAAGCTTTTATTATCTATTATTGTAAACAAAAGTGCATATAGTCAAGGCTATGGTTTACCCAGTTACAATATATGGCTGTGAAAGTTGGACCATAAGGAAGGCTGAGCGCCGAAGAATTGAGGCCTTTGAATTATGGTGCTGGCGGAGACTGGCAAGGTAATCAAACTGGCCAGTCCTAGAGGAGATCAACCCTGACTGCTCTTTAGAAGGCCAGATACTGAAGATGAAACTCAAATACTTTGGCCATCTAATGAGAGGGAAGGACTCCCTGGAGAAGAGTCTAATGCTGGGAACAATAGATGGCAAAAGAAGGGGACGGCAAAGAATGAGGTGGTTAGATGGAGTCACTGAAGCAGTTGTTGTGAGCTTGAGTGGACTCCGGGGGATGGTGGAGCACAGGAAGGCCTGGAGGAATGTTGTCCATGGGGTCGCGATGGGTCGGACACGACTTCGCAACTAACAACAACAACAGCAACATTGTAAACCACCTTGAGTGCCATTTTGTAGTAGAAAAGCGGGGTACGAATAAAATAAATGTTTATCTCTAATACGTGGTATTCAGAGATACAGTGCTTGGAATCATGGAGATTTCATGTTATCATTGCTAATTTTCTATGCTCATAGGTTTAGAATTCTACTTGTATACTTCCTTCTCAGTAATGTAATGTAGTATTATAAATGACATTAATTTGATGAACCCCTAATGAGAGATTTCTTTCTTAAGCTAAAAGGCTTAACTTCCTTCAAGACTGAACTGCAGTTTAGACACCCTGAGGGAGAATAACTAATGTGCTTTTAGATAAATAGCACATTAGGAATAAATGACATTCATAAATAAATGATGGCACCCTATTGCTGCTTATCATTCTGAAAAAAAATATTTTACCGTTCCACATATGATGAATTTTCTCTATCTCTTGGCCATTCCAAAATGTAAGGAACCTAGAACTACTCCTCTATAGTGAAAGAAATATGCACACATGAGTTTGTGTTTGTATTTTTAAATCCTAAATATAGCAGACACACACAATTGTACATATGTACAAATAAGATATATACCTCCCTTGCTGATTTTTTTTTTCTGCCTTACCCCTAAAATATACATTCCTAATGCGATTGATTTTTCACAGCTACAACAAATTCATGCCCGCGTGGAATAACTGGAAATTAATTAAGATTCCTTCCTATGTTCCTTAAATAAAATAAGTTTTCTAAAAATGGTCAAACATGTAGTTCTTTTCAATTTTCTAGCTTATATTTGTCTTTCTAGGGTCATCAGATAAAGATTTTGTCATGGGAATCTTTTACAACATTTAAAAGTTGGTTTTGTAAGCAACTAGCCTTCCCACTGCCCATCAAACAATCCTCAGTCTGTGTTGGAATGTATCTGTTGTAGCAAATTTGTGAGGATTTGGACAAACACAGAGTTAAGTTATTCAAAATTTACTGCTACATTCATGGTCTGCAAAACATCACAGAAATTATCAAGTCATGCTCTCCACAAGAAAAAGAATCCTCATATATTCATTCACAGCCACAAACATATAAGACCAAAGAGAATGGGGAGAGGAAGAGTGCACTTGCTTTTTAAGTATCTTCCTTCAAGGCACAACCTTATGCACATCTGGCTGGGACATGCTGGGCATTGTAGGCTTTCCCCTGTCTAAATATGCATAGGTTTGATTAAAATGGAAGGGGAAACACTTTACTACTAAATATATTCCTTTGAGCCCTTCTTCAGTTCATTGGATAGTGATCAGTTTTGGTCTGAGGACACAAGCAGCAGCTGGGGTCAATCTTTCAATGCATGAAGTCCAGACACATATTTTATAAGCTTTCCAATATGTAGGAATACACCGAAAGAAAACAAACAACAGCCATTTAGATTACCACCTCTGAGTTCCTATTCTTTTCATGTTTCATTGCAGACTAGAATTGGATAGAATATATTTTCTGCCTTTTTTCGTGCTCTTCATCTCTTTCCCTATAAATCTATAGAAAAGTTTTGTTTTTTTAAATCAGGGGCTTTCACAACCTCAGAGAAATATCAATGGCCATTTCTTGACATTTTATTCTGTTGAAACTAAAAAAGTCCAAACCATGCCTGAAAAGAAGATCCTGTAGAGAGAGTACCTAACACAGTAATTTAAAGGATAGGTTGCCTCCTACACAAATGTTACAATGGCATACATCAGAATAATAAAATCTGTGTTCTTGCTTTATATGGCAACATAGCTATCTCCATAAAGATGACATCCTCCTACAATCCATATGGCATGTATGTTATGGTAGTAATGGTGTTGATAAAAATTCACTACCTTCATATGTGTTAAGCTATTTTATTTTCTATCTATATTTCATCCACAATATTTGAAATATTGCTCAAAAGAAGAACTCAAGGAGTTCAGAATATGGTTTTTACTCAAACTCAGTTCAGGCTGCAATACTGGGTACAAATGGGCTGTCCATGACTACCCCTTTAATGAAACAAAAAAGTTACCAAACTGAGAATAATTCTTTTCCAAAAGAGTATCTAATAAATCCAATAAAAGGGAGTAAATAGATTAGCCAAGGGATGAGAATTCAATAAAGACTGTAAATGGACTTTGCTCCTTATGTGGTATAGAAGTATATAAAGAATTTACATGCAACAGAACA